GTTGATTTTTAAGGAGTGTATTAAACCCAACCGACAGTGCAACAGTACTTTGAAACTAACGTGTCTGACATAGTGGTACTTCTGGTTATTTGACGACCATGAGCAATTGCCTCAGACTACAACATATTGTACAGTGCTGCTCAATGAAATCCGATCCTGGGAAACCAGTCTGCGTAGCCCTGCACCACTACACATCCCAGTGTTCGTAGGTCTAGGGTTGCACAGTGTCCGGCCAGGCATTCACTCACATGATCGGATTTCATTGAGCAGCACTTCAAAAGTTTCACCATTTATTAGGGGTGAAAGTGTGCATGCAAAACTCGAGTACGAGTACTCTATTTTTTTCCGATCGAGTATTCGAGTATACGACTATTGCCTGCACTGTCACTTTCCCCATTTCCAGCATCACACCACATGCCACGGTTCACTTGTCTGCATGCACACACATTACGTACATACATGGATCACGTGTTCACGCATTCACGCCCGACCTCAATACCAATAGCCTTGAATAGGGCACAAATGTGCAGTATTATCAGATGTGATATCAATCATATCAATCATAATATTATCATCGATATGTGACGGTGAAATTCTCACAACAGCCAACCCTAGAAGGCAACCAAGAGCCACTAGTCAAATAAATTGAAACTAAAAGAAGTACACACAATCAGTGATTCTGAGCTCCGCTGAGGAGACTAAACGCGTTCAAACAGCCAGCTGCTCAGAAGTTAATTAAATAAATGAATAAAGAAAGAAAGAACTGATGGAACATCATGATACGCACTGGCTGCAACTATCTGTCTACAGGTCAGGCAAAGGAGGCAAGTCATCGGCTTCTTCCTCTGCAAACCTCTCAAGCCGTGGCATCAACTGCTGGACCGCCACAGGGGCAGCAGTTCTTGCTGCCTGAAGACCACTGTTTGCATGAAGGAAGACGAGTGCATCAACGTTCTCGTGCGTTAGACTTGCTCGTAGTTTGCTGACAATGATGCCAGCCGCTGAAAATACTCGCTCCGACGGCACAGAGGTGGCAGGTATGCACAGCACGCGCTTTGCCAACCTTGCCATGGTGGGAAACCTGTCCGCATTCGTCCTCCACCAATCGAGTGGGTCCACAGATGAGCCTACTTGTTTCTCCGTGAAGAATTGGGTTACCTCCACCTCACAATCCGATGCTGCCGATGAAGTTGTGGATGGCTCGACGCTAGGGCACGCGAAGAACAACGACATGTCCTCTTCCATAGGTCGCTTGGCAGGTGGCTCCAGAATACATTCGTCATCAGAGCTGCTCCCATCGCTGTCGGCAGTGATTTGAGCACACACCCGGCGAACAATCTCTGACTTCAACTCGTCCTTGTCTTCGTCACTGTCCAAGAATCCGAGGCTCCGTGACCTGGGATCCAGTGCTGCAGATACAGATGGCAGCGAGATTGGGTCAAATGGATCGAGGGAAAACTTCACCTTGATTTCCATCGCCAGTGATTTCCGGAAATCCGCAGCCGATGCCGAGAGTTCCTCATTCGCAATACGAAGACCACGTAGCAAAGACTTGGCCACCGGCACCACCAACGTCTGTGTACAGTAGGTTTCCCCACCAAGAACAGTGGTAGCCTTTGCTGGTGCCTCCAGTGCTGCCACTATCTCCTTGGCGAGATTCCACTGGTGGTCCTTCAACTGCAGGTGCCGATGGGAGCTCTTGGTCAGCTCGGGGTCTTCCAAAACCGCCATGATTGGCAGCCTCGGGTGAATCAGGCGCTGGAGCATCAGAAAGGAGCTGTTCCATCGCGTTGGAACATCCTGGATGACTCGTAGAGGAGTGCCAGACTTGCTACCTGACGCCATAGCTACTTGCTTGTTGTTTAGCGCCTCTGTGCTCTTGGCACTGTGGCTGAAGTGGCCAACAAGTTGCCTGGAAGAAGCCAGCAGTTTCGTGACAGGCCTTGATGCTGTTATAGCATGCCTGATGCAGGTTTGCAACCGATGGGCAGCGCAAGCTTGGTAATCCCAGTGATGTTGGCTGCGAAGAAGTCTGCTCGCTGCCATCTGGTTTGGTGCTTCATCATGGACTAAGCACTGCACAGTGTCATGCGCAATGTTGAATCTGCTAAGAACTGCTTCTGTGCTGGCAGCAAGGGTTTCCGCTGTGTGACTCCCGTTGAAGCGCTTGGTCTCAAGAACGTGCGACACCAGTTTCCAGTCGTCCGTGACATAGTGGCTCGTGTACGTTACAAAGGAGACCACAGCCTTCGATGTCCACGCATCCGTTGTGATAGCAATTGATGTAGCACCTGCTAATTTTGTCACAAGCTCCTTTCGTGCAGCATCGTGCCGCCGACGCACCATGGATGCGATGGTCGTCCGTGAGGGAACGGTGAATGAAGGTTCCACGAAGGACAGCAATTGCCTGAACCCAGGATCGTTTACTATCCCAAGAGGACGCATATCAGCAGTGACCCAGTCGGCGATGAGCCCCCGAATCTGAGTTGACCTGGCCGAATTACAAGTTCTCTTCGAGTGCGATACTACAAACGATTCCATTGGCTTTGTCCCAACCGTGGTACGTGTTGCTGCCGCTGCGCTGCGCTGCGCTCGCTCGGCTCACTGCCTTTCTCACTTTCCCTCTTCTCCTTGTAACTTTGGCATGTTAGCAGATGATTGGACAAGTTCGTTGTACCACCCGTATATTTGTATTTGCCCTGGCAATGTTTGCACAAGACTTGCTTTGACACTGGTTGGGAGAAGTGGTCCCAGACCTTCGATCTCTGACCGGTCTTTCGTGGTAAGCCAGCCCCGCTTGATGACGATGCTTGTTGCAACTCCATTTTTCGTCAGACAACACTACACTTCACTCAAGCCAACTACTGCAAACGAAAATCACTCAACTACGAAAGGAACTCTTGGATGTGACTGCGAGACCCACGAAGAAAACTGAAGGAGCAGCGACAGCTAGCACGTCTTCTCCGAGTTTCGCTACACGACTGTATTCACGGAGCCCTTCACATCTTTCGTTATGTAAACGGCTCCGTAGTACATGATTGACTCCCGCTCGATCCCACGCGCAGGGATTCCTGCTCAGCTCAACCGCGCAAACCGGTACGGTAGCTATCCATAGTCGCGTGTACAGGAACTGCTCTCCTCACAACCAAAACAGTTTTCCAGAACCTTTCCAGAACCAAAAGAAGTGCATGCCGCACTGCCCCTGACACTGGAAGCGAAAAGGTGAGAACTCAAACTGCATGCAGCATAGCACAACTTTGAACTAGGTACGCGGAGCGCCGCACTGACACTTGGCTACATGTACCACCAGACAGCAGCCGTATGCGGCATTGCGTGTTACTTTACTAGTTTTAGCGAGAGTACGCTAGTAGTAGGTCTACTAGTACTCTGCACGCCTTCTGGGCTGTGCACGTAGGTCTACGAGTATGTGACTTGTGACCATGGTTGTTGACTGCATGCATGCATGATCGAGTACTCGAATTTTTTCCGAGTACTCGATCGTTCAAAAAAAGCGATCGAGTACTCGAGTATTCGGTATAATCGTTTCACCCCTACCATTTATACAAAGTTTTCGAATCACAACAGCAGGAGTAAATTTGAGACCGTACCTTCCTGTTAATTAAAGGACACCGTTTCGATAAGGCGCTGCCCCCACCCCCACACCCTGTTCATTTCAAGGGCGATTTTGGGAGCAATGGACAACAATGTAGGGACAATAGCACTCCCTGGCAGAAGCTGCACTAAAGCACTGGCAGCTCCAGACTGCACATGTACTGACCTTTGTTGTATGACACACAAAACGTGCTTGCAGCAGATCTTGAGCATTATGTTGTAATTTGTCATCACCGCAGACCTCATACGCAGACCCACTCATACGCAGACCCACTCATACGCAGACCCACTCATACGCAGACCCACTCATACGCAGACCCACTCATACGCAGACCCACTCATACGCAGACCCACTCATACGCAGACCCACTCATACGCAGACCCACTCATACGCAGACCCACTCATACGCAGACCCACTCATACGCAGACCCACTCATACGCAGACCCACTCATACGCAGACCCACTCATACGCAGACCCACTCATACGCAGACCCACTCATACGCAGACCCACTCATACGCAGACCCACTCATACGCAGACCCACTCATACGCAGACCCACTCATACGCAGACCCACTCATACGCAGACCCACTCATACGCAGACCCACTCATACGCAGACCCACTCATACGCAGACCCACTCATACGCAGACCCACTCATACGCAGACCCACTCATACGCAGACCCACTCATACGCAGACCCACTCATACGCAGACCCACTCATACGCAGACCCACTCATACGCAGACCCACTCATACGCAGACCCACTCATACGCAGACCCACTCATACGCAGACCCACTCATACGCAGACCCACTCATACGCAGACCCACTCATACGCAGACCCACTCATACGCAGACCCACTCATACGCAGACCCACTCATACGCAGACCCACTCATACGCAGACCCACTCATTTGCTGTTTTATGGACTTACCCTCAATTTGCAGAGAAAGAGCTTCCATGCATAGAACGGTTACCTGTTCTTATGACTACCCGCAAAGCAAAGAAAGAGCTTACCCTCATTTTGAAGAGTCTTCAGCATGGATGGGAAAGGGCATACGCAGACCCACTCATACGCAGACCCACTCATACGCAGACTGGTTGGACAATCGTGATGGTTACCTGTTCTTATGACTACCCGGCAAAGCAAAGAAAGAGCTTACCCTCATTTTGAAGAGTCTTCAGCATGGATGGGGAAAGGGCACTTGCTGGGCTGGCAGTTGATGGTGACGGAAGCAGCAAATTTCCACTGGCCATCTGCCGTTCACCAGCGGAAATCTGGATGGGAGATGATGTTGGTCTGGCCGTGGCTACGCCTTCAAGTAAGTGACTCGTGTCGGCAGTTGGATTCATTGGAGTGACAGCTTCTCTGTCATCGCTACTAACAGAGCCGGGAGGGCCAATGTTATCACCTGATGTCAGGGACATACTGTCGTGATCCACGATACAGAATGATTCCATGTTGCCAGGGTCGCCAGAGCCAGATGACTGGGATGATGGACTGCGCACAAAATCCGGTGAATATGAAGAGGATTCACTCACTGAACCGGTTTCTGAGCCTCCATCATCAGTGTCTTCCTCCTCCTCATCATCATCAGAGTCATCAAATCCAGTCAGTCCACGTGAAAGAATAGCCACTGATGCGTCAGCGTCTGTGAGCAGAATATCACAGACGCACGCACAGGCAGAGTACACACACACACACACACACACACACACACACACACACACACACACACACACACACACACACACACACACACACACACACACACACCATGCATGTACCATGTATACGCCCGTCGCAAGAGAAGCACGCAAATCTGCAAATGCACTGGATGTGCACCCACAGATTTTCTCTTTATAGCAACGATAGCGGATCTGATTCTGATTGAATCAGATCAAGACAAGCGCCAGATAACTGTCTAATCCACACGACTGGCGAAGCCATGTGAATCGACCCCCCAATGCACACCTGGTCTACACCACACGGAGTACATCGGAATAGGACGGCCAAGACAGTTACCTATGCACACCCTACACTTGCTGGGGTAACCAGTATAGACAGCACGCTGCTTTGATAAAAGCAGACACTACAGATGCACTGGTACCTTGAAGTGAAATTGGAGTTATTTTACCAACCAGCCTCGGCAACCGGGTACTGGGAACCCAGGGCCAACAGAGGTACCAACAACCTCAGCCATGAAAGCTTTATAGTAACGACACACACACACACACACACACACACACACACACACACACACACACACACACACACACACACACACACACACACACACACACACACACACACACACACACACACACACACACACACACACACACACACACACACACACACACACACACACACACACACACACACACACACACACACACACACACACACACACACACACACACACACACACACACACACACACACACACACACACACACACACACACACACACACACACACACACACACACACACACACACACACACACACACACACACACACACACACACACACACACACACACACACACACACACACACACACACACACACACACACACACACACACACACACACACACACACACTTGTACTTGTACTTGCTCACTGCCAAAACTGGTCACGTGGGTCTCCCCGGGAGAGGGGAGAGAGACTCAAAAGGAATCTTGGAAAGATGACTCGATTGGCCATTGAACCGCCCAACGGCCGACACCCCCTGAAATCCCCAAACTAGGGTGGACTTGAAATGATCCCACTTATGGGCTCACCACACCTCAGTAAGTGGGTGAGGACAAGGTGCAGAAAAAGGATTGACGGCATCAGGGTATCCGTCCGGGGATCCAACTGCAGTTTAATACCCCTGCCCCCAGTGAAGGTAATACTTGCTACTAGTGTGGGTGGCTAAATCAGAGTGGATCTGATATAAGCTTCACTAGCACCATTGATTACACAAGAGTTAATCTAGCCAGAAGCAGTCCATGGTTAACAGGTACACACACACACACACACACACACGCCGCCCTCCACTCAGAGAACTGAGCGCAAGGTGAGGGGCAGTGGCGTAACAAAAACAAAACAGGAAGTACAGCAGAATGAATTGAAAAAAAGGAAATCAAAACAAGCTGCCATATTGATGGAAAAGAACTCACCAACAGAGGAAAGAAATATCACAAACCAGATGAACAGTCTGCTGCAGCATGCAGGTCCATTATAAAATGCAACGGCTGAAAAGGAACAATATAAAAAATAAATGTGAACATGATGTTCTGTTCAACAAACGTCTGTACGCGTACTGCTTCGGCCTTCGTGAATCAGGAAAAACACAATCTTGAGCTGGAGGGTGGGCACCGAATGTCCCACAAGGGCTCCACAAGACGTACTTTCACGAGCGACGAGGAGTGTGCACAGCAAGCTAATAACACTACACCATCGCCGCACGACGACTGGCCACTCAGGTCCAAACAACACGGCCAAGGACAAATTCACGATTCCGGCGATACACCGCGCAGGAAGAAATTTCTGCAAGTCTGACCTGTTTCCTTTCTCATCCAGGAGTCCACTTGCTTTGCCGAACGCCACTGCGTTGTTTTTGGCTGGGGGTTGATCCGAGGGCTCGCCACACCACTGCGGAGGATGCGGAAAGGACGCAAGAAGACGGTGACGGCAACAAAATTACCCGCCCTGGGCGTCAGCTCACTGAATGTCCTTCCGCGCGCGCGCGCGCGCGCGCGAAACTGGCTGCAAGGCATGAAAAGCCTACTGCCAGTCAATACCCAGGGACGACCCTGACCAGAAGGCTAGGGCCGCCCCGTGGAGGAGGCCAAAAAAGAGAAAACCAGGAGCTAACAAATCTGCTTCCTCTCGGCAAAAAATATTTCACACACACACACACACACACACACACACACACACACACACACACACACACACACACACACACACACACACACACACACACACACACACACACACACACACACACACACACACACACACACACACACACACACACACACACACACACACACACACACACACACACACACACACACACACACACACACACACACACACACACACACACACACACACACACACACACACACACACACACACACACACACACACACACACACACACACACACACACACACACACACACACACACACACACACACACACACACACACACACACACACACACACACACACACACACACACACACACACACACACACACACACACACACACACACACACACACACACACACACACACACACACACACACACACACACACACACACACACACACACACACATACACACGCATGTACAAACAAAGCAGGGACAAACACATGCACAGGCAAAGCACACACATATGCATGCACAGGCAAACCACTTATGGAGAAGGCTCAGTGTACATGGACGGCCCTGTTTCTTTTGATCTGGGTAGAAGACATTAGTGGAGATGACAGTGACTGGGCAAACTGATCCTAATCCAGGTCAGGGAATAGCATGGTCAGGGAATAGCATGGTCAGGGAATAGCATGGTCAGGGAATAGCATGCGAATGAAGAACACTGAAATGGCGGACAGTTCTGTCTGACGAGTGTTTCTGAACACGAAACTCAGAGCTACAGAAGAAAGATGTTTAGGGAAGCCTCACTCCAACACTCCAATAGCGGTCCCTTCACTGTGAATAAATCAATGTTTCACCAAATGTCGGGCCCGGCCCATCATCAGGGTAAAGAAAGATGTTGCGTTTCCTTTGTGTGCTGTGCTCTGCCCTGGCTAGGGTATTAGGCGGAACTACTGTCTGGATTCGGAGTATGAAACTCAGAGAGCAAACTCAGAGTTATGGGAAAAGAGGTTTTTCTCTCTGTAGTTTTGCCTTTGTGTGGTTTACTCTGCCATAGCCAGGGCATAGAACACTATTTGCAGCAAGGACCCTGGCATTGCCACTTTGCCTACATGGTATGTACATAGCACGCACAGGTGCGGGAACCGACTCGACATCATCAGTGTCCCATCCGTCCTGCCCGAATCCAACAAGAGAAACCTCCATCCCAAGTGAAGGTATAGTACTAGGCACTAGTGTACGTTTCCAATCAAACTGGGTTGGAGGCGTCACATGCACCATTGATTACACAAGAACCAGTCAAGCCAGAAGAAGCATGCCGGTCAGCAGGCAACATACAGGTGCAATTATGCACATTGGTACTTACACAGGTGCACTCACATGCACCCCCCCCCCCCCCCCCACACACACACACACCACACCATACACACCACACACACTGACTGACTCACCAGAGTCTACAGGTGTACTGATGTCGGGAAATAGCTTGTCTTTGTTGTCTTGACGCCGACTGGCTGGTGCCATGTCCAGCCAGTCATCTTCTCCAAGTGACTGTTCCAAGACCGGAGTGGCATCACCATCACTGTCATCATTGCCGTACAGAGCTCTGCAGTAACACAAAGAAGAAGACTCACATTAGACAAGGGCAGATAAAGATAAATAAAAATTAAAAGGCACCTCTCTGTCCATTCTCTCTCTCTCTCTCTCTCTCTCTCTCTCTCTCTCTCTCTCTCTCTCTCTCTCTCTCTCTCTCTCTCTCTCTCTCTCTCTCTCTCTCTCTCTCTCTCTCTCTCTCTCTCTCTCTCCCAAAGTTTTAGGGTGGTACGGTCAGCTATGTGAAGTACTCATGTGAAGTACTCATGTGAAGTACTCATGGTCCGATGGATTTTTGAAACTTAGAGCCCATATGGGTGTATTTTATTGATTGCTGGGGTAGTTGGGGAAAAGAGTGGAAAAGAGTGGTGCGGTCAGTACTGTAGTGACTGTAGCGTGTCAGACACCCCTGCTCCCCTGCTCCCCTGCTCCCCTGCTCCCCTGCTCCCCTGCTCCCCATCCCTTCCCCCTTCATCTCCTGCCCCTGCCCTCTCTGTCTGTCTGTCTGGTCTGTCTGTCTGTCGATAAGAGGAAAGCGACTGGACCATTGCACAGAAGGACAGAAGTGATCACAACTGAGTTGATATTTCGATCATACTGGTCTTCTTCAGAAAGAAGACTTCCGAATGACTGTCCGTCCGCCCGTCCGTCCATCCGTCCGTCCGTTTGTCGGTCTGTCCGTTTGTCTGTCTGTCCGTCTGTCTGTCTGTCTGTCTGTCTGTCTGTCTGTCTGTCTGTCCATGGTCTTTGTCTGTGGTCTCTGTCTCTGTCTGTCTGTCTGTCTGTCTGTCTGTCTGTCTGTCTCTCTCCGGGTTCATCTTTTAAGAGTACATGCTACATAGGCAGCCAGGCTTTTCAAGTTTTCACTCACCTAATGGTGCCACCCTCCAAGTGGAAGAGCGGCAAGGCAAATCCAGTTGGTGCATCTAACTTGCCTAACTCATCATCATGCCATCCTGGCAACTTGTTCCATAGCTCAGCCACCACTGGTGTCCAAGATTCAATGCTCTGCGGCCAATGACTTGGTGGTGGTGCACTTCTAGAGCTGCTTGCACCCTGCGATGACGACGGCGGTGATGATGACACAATCCTCGCGTTGATATCATCCTTCAGTCTGAGTAAGTGAAGGCAGTCATGTCAAAATGAAATCCAAAATGAAATTCATCACCAGTATTCGGTCACTTATCAACAATGCAGCAACGCTCACAGTGAGCCAGCTGGGAGGGGACAGCCTAACAAAAGTGATTGTGACGATGGCTAGCAATATTATCCATCAATGTAGATTCATATTTAGAATGCCCAGCTACATACAGCCATGCCCAGAAAACTAAGATAAAATATTATATATCAGGATTCTACTTGTCAAAGATGAAAATGTCAGGTTCCTGGTACGAGAGCTATCTTGTACATGCGTCATCCTCACCTTGTCAAGAGGAGGCGCAGAGCAACATAGTGTTCAATGCAGACCTGATCAGGTGGGAACAAGGCTATGGGTAGCTCATGCTCGCTGTAGAAATGATTGCTGATGAGGTAGTGACGCACGCAAACCTGAACAAAATGAGCCGAGAACACAGACACTGACCGATCACGACCGTGTGACACAGAGATAGTCCACACACCAACAAGCGCTGTCACTGGCAAGTTCAACACAGTAGGTAATGGCATAATGACAGCATATACATTGTACACGCATGTCTAATACTACACACCAGCCTAGTAACCTGTCAATGTAGCACACAGTGTTGCGGATTTCTGTTCGACTATGATTTACGCATGTTGTTGTATTTGGTTCTTGTCTTGTGGAGTCCAGTGTCTGATATTATGGTCTAAGTGTACGCGCGAGTATGGTGTGATGTGTGACGTTTATGGTATGTGGTGCATGCAAGAGTACGCGTTGTCAGAGAGTGAGGATGTGCTTCCGTCTGTGTGAGAGTGACTGTCAAGTGAATGCTGTACATGCGCAGTACTAGTTTGGTCTGGGAATGAGAGTCGTGTGTGATTCGTCCGTGGTCTGGTTGTCTTGGTCTTGGTCATGTGTTCTGTACGTATTAGTCCCTGATTGGCCGTCCCGATTTGTCGTCGCAATATTCCTGCTTGTTCTTGTTGTTTTCTTTGAGTCTTTTCCCGGGAGTCTTCCCGTTGTCCTTTTCGTCGTCTCCAAGTTTGTCTCTCTCCTCCTGCGCCCTCGTCATTTCTTGGTACAATATAAGTATTGCAGATATGATCAAGAGTTCTCGTAGTTGTGTGGCGGGGGCCAGGGGGAGAAGCCTACTTCACAGTGTCCTATGTTGTATGTTGATATACACAGAGTAACAGCAGGCACTGACTGGATGCTGCTTAAATGGACAATGGAGTGTGTCTGCTATCAATACCAATAGTAGTAGTAGTAGTAGTAGGCTGTGGGCAAGTACTCACATCATGTTGCTGACCAAGATGAGCCTCCACGCCAGACAGGACACTCAGTAAGCTACTGATGCCTTGCACACACTCAGTCGGGTCTGCTCAGGGATAGTGAACACAATAGACAACAAGGATATCATGATGGTGGTCAGGGCAATGCTAGCGGCAACACCACTGACACCAGGATGACCAGGCTGACAAGCAGAGAAATGGCTTAAACTAACATACGTAGTGTACCGAGTCGTGAGTTTGCAGTGCTGAAGGAAAGAGCGTTTGGGCTAAAAAATTCTCATGGAGTGTGTTACTCCGATTGACGATCGTTACGAACGCAATTTGTTGTTTATTTTGTCCTTCAAGTTACGTCCGTAGAGACTCAGATAACAGTGATTTAATGGCGAATCCCTCTTTGTATTTCTGCACAGCATAGCTCCTTCGCACCACTGTTCATGTTTTATTCTGATTGTGTTTCGCCGAAGTTCTCTTCGCTCAAGTTCATTTGCGTAAGGACTGATTTGTTATCTTTTGACTCTGGGTCTGTCGCAGACTGTGCATGCTTCTCAGCAGTCAGCACTTTCTTTTATGACATCAGTATACACTAGTGCTGTACATGTTGGATGATAAATTCGTGCACGCGAGCTGGTTTTCTTTTGGCTGGTTCTATTTTTGGTTTTGAGGGTTGTTGGCTGAAGAGGTTTGCTTCAGACATGTTATTCATATCTGCTCGCCCAATTTCTACAATTATATTTTTGCCCGTATAACCAGTAACGGTTGTTGTTGATGCACTGAGGTGTGGCTGCATTGGGGCGAGTGAGCTAGTTTGGTAACACATGTATGACTGTGTGTGCACATTTACGCGCAAGTGCAAACACACACACACACACACACACACACACACGCACACACACACGCACACACACACCCTCAAAGAGAAAACAGCAAACTCACTGTCATACGCGGCAGGGATTGCTGCCATGAGAGTCTCAGCGAGTTCAGGTCTGAGTGGAGTCTTGAGACGCATTGCCAAGTGAGCATATTGGCATTCACCACTCAGCAAGTGAGAGCGAAAGAAGTGAATACAACCAACTATGCTACTCAGCGGCAAAGAGAAAATGTGCTCTACCATGCGATCAGGAACCCTACAACAAGAAAAAGAACAAGATCACGACCAAGAACACGATTACGACCAAGAACACGATCAAGAACAAGAACAACAAGAACAACAGACACGGACAAATCAGATCAAAGAAAGACCCTTGAAAAGTTAGATGTACACGACCATATATAAAACTGTGTCTGAGTTTGCCAGGTGAGCTTGCCATGCATCCAGTACTTGGTCATGTACATGTGCAACTCAACATTTAATAGTTGGCCTATGTGTGTCAAATAGAGCGGAATCGATATGCAGCATGCTACAGTCAGATCTCCACGCAGAGCATGACAAACTATAACCAGAGTTCACCCGAGTATCGACACACACTGCACCGTGCTCTGTGTCACATACCTTTGCGCTGCAAGCTGCTTGACTAGCTCCGAAAGTACTGATCCGGACAGTCCAGCGGGACAGAGTAATGGTGTCAGGAACTGCAGCAGCCGAGTGGAGGGCTCAGTAACGCGACTTGCTACTTGTGCATTGTCACAGCCATCATCGTCATCACCACCCTGACACGAACAACAGAAATGTACAGCCTCTACTACATGTATACAACAATGATAACACGGTGTAGACACGGTGTAGACAAAGAGGGAGCAACAGTAATCTGTAACTCCAAGTGTCAGGCAAGCAGCAGACTTTCTGGTGAACAAGACTGGCAGATTGTGCCAGGGGAGAGGTGTGTCAACTCAATCTGTGTCAATTCCAAGCACATACATGTACATGGAAGCATGATCATTGCAATAGCAGCAGCAGCAGCACCGGTCCTACAGCGTACCTGCAAAGCTAGCGGATGACTGTACTGCAAGACTGCTTGACGAACATGTCCCAGTATGGTTAGCAGCATTGTCAAGCACTCGCCTGTCACCACCGAATCAAGATTATGCGACAAGAGTTTGAGTGTCTGCAGCGCTTCACTGCTTAAGTCCTTCGAGAACCCAGTCGGCAGCTGGCTGTCCACTTTGGAGATATCTACGGCAGGTGTGGGTTGCTGTGTAGGATGTGGCTGAGCAGTTGGCACACTAGTCGCAGCCACCTTCAGCACATAACACACAGTGTGGAGAGCGCAAAAGATAATTGGGCCACATCAGCTTGCAATAGCAAAACACAGGCATACAGCACAGGTACACATGCATATACGTAGATGTGTGGGCGTCGTCTGAAAAGCTAGCTTTGACCACTTCAACCACTAATCTCGTAACAAAGCACTAGACACGGACATCAAGTCGTATGTGAACAATGAAGCAAGAAGTGAAAAGCCATGAAAAGCATCGAAGAAGACGAACAATGTTCTACCCGAGGGAGTCTGTCTGTATGAATGCGTGTGTGCAGTGAGTACGCCAAAAATGATGTCATGCACGACCAGAAACTATGCTCGTACACAGCAACTGAAATGCAATTAATACCACCCCACAATCGACCACAGGGTTGCAGATGGGTAGTGGTTGTACCACTAAACAAGACAAACAGAATTGGTGTATAACTGTTAGCAGTAGAATTCTACAAACGTACATCTTTGAATTTGAAGACAATGCGCATAGAAGCCGGGTCGGCGATCCTTGCTCTTCCCATCGCGTAGGTGAGCAACAGGTCCTGCTCGATGCTATGCAGATCAAAAGCACTCTCATTGCTGCTGCTGCTGTCGGATGAGCGAGACATGAAGACTGACGATGTCAGTGACTGGAGAGCATTGGCAGCAGAGTTGCTACTCATCAGAGAGGTGGCATGTGATGTAAAGTGACGTCGAATAACACGAAGGAACTCCAGCTGATCTTCAACTAGCACATTGCTCCCGGTATTTCTGAAAAACAAAGAACATTCCCAACTCGTCACAACCACGCGCAGTATTTAATTGTGAACAAAAAAACATGATATAGTTTTCTTTCCCTGATAAGCTTCCTGTCTCCAAGAAAGTTAAAAAAAAAAACACGATACTGTAGCATTATTTAGAAACCAAGCAGCATTGTAGTAAGCGTTGAGATAAGAATGACAGTGCAACTTCAACGAACTGAACTGAAGTCAAACTAGATATGCTACCAATATGAGATTATCAGATACACCATTGTATCGTTTACCACACTACAAGGTGGTTGCGCTTGCTGATTGCATAGCCTTTCCATGCAAACTCATCATCATTTGGGATAAATGCATGCAGCCGTCTTGTGACAAATTTTGATAAAGCATGCTCCTTCTTCCAGCTGGCGAAAGAGAACCTGATCTTTCTCTTGCTTGCTCTTTGCTGGGAAGTAGTGAGCTATGTGATTGTGCGACTTCACTAAATGGCCTCGGAAATGGCTATGACTCGTTTCAAGCCTCCTGCCTTCGATTTCACTTCACCAGACTACGGTCCTGCATAGAATCTCTGGTTCTTTGAAAACGACAAGCTAGCTTAATGGCTGGTAGCTCGGCCTATTTAGCTCGTAGCTGTACTGATGAGGCCTCTATGGCCGAAACAGCTTGCTGTCTATAGCATTGGGTTATTTGAAAACATACATTTTAAGCTCTGCTTGGAAGAAGACTTGACTTCTCCGCACGCTTGCAGAACCAATCGACCAAGTCTCCAAGCCCCAACCAAGACACTCCTCACACAACAAGAATGAAGTCAAGGGTCTTAATTTTAATGAAGCTGGCACACCATCAACTTGAGCATAAAAAGTCAGGGACATACCGGACGCTGCATTCCTCCATTTCCAAGACGGTCACATCACCGAGCAGACAGGTCTGACTGCTGACTTCTTGCGGCTGAATCATAGTATTGGAATCTAAATCATTCCGCAGCCTAGCATACAGCGACATCAGCTGGTCGTAGGAGTTGGTACGTGACAACGATTCGTCTGTACTTGGTAGCAGTGTGGAGAGTATGTCCAAGAACTGGTTGTGTGTCTCAACCTGAAAAGGACACAAGGAAAAAAACAAGTGTTTCAACTTCTTCGCCCAGCATGCACTCTAAGCCGACTAACTCTACCAGCAAGAGATTCCATACTCTGGGAATAACACAGCATGGAAAACGGGAGAAAAGCAACGTGATCAAAACTGTCTATTCTACAATGACAATCTAATCCAAAATATTGACCACTCATATAATTCATTCATATTCAAGTGACCTGGAACTCATCAAAGACACTACAGATGGCACACTGTCTCGGTACCATGAAGGGACACAGAATTAAATCCGAGGAGTGTTCGGCACACATGTGTACTTGTGACTGCCAGGAGCTGGTTTTCAAAAGCATGCATTCCCTCATGACAATCAAACACTGTAGAACACAGAGCCAACTCAGCGTGGCATGTGAAACACTTGCGCCATGCACGTTAGCACCAAATACTGGCTGCAACTAGTACATGCATATAATATCATATGTAACTCTGGAAACTTCTGCTTTCATTCTCATTCACTTCCCCATTACTTTACTTGTTTTCTTCCCGTCGTTTTCTTCTTTAAAATCAACATGGTTTTGTCTATTGCCCATATCACCCACTCTTGACTAGTGTCACATGATTGAGAAAATAAGTGAATGAAATAAATAGACACACAAGATAGAGAGGCATATTCCTGTCACACTTACGACTTGTCTCAAGACAACAAAGAGCGTGTCATTGCCCTGGCCTTCTTCCGTACTCTCACTGAGCAACGAGAGTAGTACCGTGCTTGCTGACAGCTGGTGCAGTTTGTTCTCTCTGCTCACAGTTGCACATCCTCCGTGGCCTGGAGTTGATAGGGGATGCCAGTGCCAAGACAGCAGTAACAACAAGCACAATGAACACAGAACAACCGAAGGACACAGTTCAGTGGAGGCACAATAGGCTGGTCCATGACCATGATTGAGTTGATAATGGTGTTCAAGGATCATGCCAATAACAGTAAAGAGACTGGGAACGAAGGATCAAGACTTCCGAATATTTAATGGGCAAAGTGCATGGTGTGATAATTGTGCAGTGCCTTCCATAATAAGATGGCAGGAACACACAATGTCACTTGCATGAGCTACACCTAATGGAGGGCGCACGCCAGAACATCAGCAGCAGCAAAGATATCACGAGTAGCTGAAGCAGTCACCAGCATCACACTCTTTGTTACCATCACAACTTACCAATGACGCCGCCGCAGAAGTCAACGTACGCATTGAAGCGTCCACTGAGGCGCTCGAAAAGTTGATTGATGTGCTGAGCAGCAGACTTGCTGTAGCGCTGCGAAAGCCTTTCCAGAACCTACATGACACAAAGTCACGTCGGGGGAACGGGTCGACAAGTGCAGCAGACACAGGAACAAGCACAACTCTCGGAAAGGAGCCTGGGAGTAAACTGTACATCTAAGCAATTCCTCAGGCATATTGAGTGAAATTGGCAACACACCAGTTTTCAACCCGCATAAACACTTCGACACCCAACTAGCATTACTTGGCAACACAACATGGACCAGTCACGGAGAGTGAAGCTGCCGAGATGATATGGGACCTGTCAAAGGAGAAGAGGTAGCTTCAGTACACAGCTTACATCGGAGATAGGGATTCAAAGAGCTACAATGCAGGTTGCAATTCTGTTCCATATGGCCAGGACACCATACTAGAGCAGGAGCAGTGTGTCAGACATGTTCACAAACAAGTTGGCAGCAGCCTCCGTAAGCCGAAGAAGGAGCACCTTGCAACGCACATCAGAAGTATACGGCTACCTCACAACCTGCAAATATCTACATGTTATTAGCAGCATAGGACTGTTCAACAATCTAGATGACCCACACATGTGAGATGACTGTGAGATGACTGCATGCTAACAAGTGACAACTGACCTGGCCTACTGTGACTGTTGTGGCCTGCTCAAATGTGACGGAAAACGCCAGCATGGAGTGAATCCAGGTGTAGAACTCCACCAAATCAGGCAGCAGCATACCACCGACATGCAGGCGTCTTCGCCACACCATCATGTGCTGTAGAATGTCAGTCCTGGCAAGACGAATGCCCGCGGGCAGAGTATGCCACTGTGTCGATGACCTACTAGCGACAGAGTGCTGGTGCTGCTCCACAGCGTGATAGAAGTGTTTAGATGAGACACGACTCGGGTACACGTTTTCAAAATCTCTGTAGATAACAAAACAGCACAGTACAATCCACAGTTGCTGTATGCATGTATGAGAGAACGAGAGAAAGAGAGAGAGAGAGAGAACTAGAGGGGAGGGGGTGGGGGGGGGGGGGGGTAGGGGTGATATACAAGGCACAAAGCATGGACTGCCGTTTCAGCTGCAGCCTTGTTAAAAATAATCAAGTACGAAAAACCAAAGGCAAAGAGGTTCACATGACATTCAGATGCTTCCGAGGGAGTTGCACTCATTCATCAGCGAGAGTCAAATCCCTGCCGTGAATGACAAGGTTCATCCTACCATCACTCAGCAATCTCCTTGCTCATGATGCTTCTTACTGCCACACTCACCTCAACTTGAGCAGGAGCGGATGATTCTGCCAGACGGCATCATTCACCATTGTGGGATTCTGACATGCAGCTATGCTGGGCTCATACACGCCACTGTGCCAGGATGCCTCTGCTCTGTTCAACGACTCCAGGTTAGTAAACGTCGACTGACCGAACAGACGCTGGCCATTCTAAGTCAAAGCAGCCACACGTCAGAAAGCACAATACATCATCAGTACAACAGAGCACTGAGTAGCAGGAGGCGTGCAAGTGCACTTAACAGTACAGAGTGAAGAACATACAATGCTACTAATACACCAAAAAAGTGCAGTGGACTTAGACCAGTGAATACGTGCAATGGACTTAGACCAGTGAATACACAGAAAATATTCCCTGAAGCGTCGCACAAGGAACACAATACTAGTAGCGATTCTACACTGTGCATTCATCTAAAAAAAGGTGGGTCTTAAACAGTACAGTAGCACAGAGTACACAGTTACCTTCTGCAGGTTAGTCATCGCCTGCACAACAAAGAAGGACCGCTCCTCGTCATTCAAGTTCAGGTTGGTACGCATCAATAGCCAGGCTGTGCGTACTTGAGAGATGCAATAGTGACGTACGGACTGCCATTCAGAAATAACTGGGCCTGTGCATGACACACGTAGCAATGAGAACCAGGAAAAGAATGACCAGGCAGTTACCGCAGTACTAGTCAAAGATACACTCAACATTATTCAATCATAAACTCATTTCAAGAGCAGCTCCGGCCTTGGATTCAGAGTCAAGGGCATAACGAATGTAGACATGAGTACATGAACACTTGATACTGCTACGGCTAAACATGTTGCCTGAGGATTGCTTTTGCATGTAACTCCGAATTGCAAGTAAACCTTGTTTGCATTCTGTGTGCAAGGATGCTCTGCCAATGGGTATTGAGAATTCTTTGAACAGAGGAGGAAATTCCACTTGACAGCAAGACCAAGTACTGTACTAGGGTCTGGCTGGGCCGGCAGTACACTCTACGCTGCACACCACTGCAGTATGACAACGTCAGTGGAGGTCTGGTGATGGGCATGCATGTTTTACCCGTTGCAGAGGCGGCACTGGAGTGACGACATTGCAAGGGTAGCGGGGAAGCAAGTAACTTGTTCCGGTATGCTTTTAAAGATGGCAAGCACTATTGACTAGAGTAATCTAGCACACATGTCCGTTTGCACCATCCTCATGATATTTCCTTGAAAGCTGGCGGCCTGCCAACGTACAACACGATGCTTACCTCGCAGACCATCATACGCTCCATCTTGAGTCAGAAGTGACACACAGAATGCTCCGTAGTTAGCCCACAACAAGAGATAGCGCGACGGAAGAGTGAGGTTACCTGAATAACATTAGAACACATCAAACATCTGATGGTACAATGGTACAAGTAAAAGTAATTTGAAACTTTGCAAACCTGATATTATGGGGAGCGCATCAAGCTTGGTCCACTGTGAGCAAACACAAATTGCAATTTCGAGTTTGGTCTTAATATGATCTCCAGTTCAATACTAACCTCTGGTACAGTGTGTTGTGTAGTCGGATCTGCCATACTCTCCGTCAGCATTCAGTTCACATCCACAGTCATACTGCAGACCGTTGGCACTGACCTTGTTCGGGTACTGAAGCAAACATTTTTAAAAGAACCAGGCAGAGAACTAGAACTTAGTGAACAAGGAATATATTGCGCATGCGCAATAGGCTACTACTAACAACACGGTCTTTTATCTCTTGTGAATTTAGACCGTACTTATGGGTGCGAGTCGCACAAGAGCTGTGTAATGTACATGTCTACATTGATGAAGTCACAGTGCATTTTCACATACCATGTTGCCGGTGAGGAAAGTTCCAGCCAGGCTAGCTGGATTGAACATGTGTGCCCACAGGTGAGAAGAGTCTGCCGGCATACCCATCACACCAGCAATCAAATTGGCCAGTGCATTTCGTAGCTGAGCATCCTCTGCACACACACACACACATACACACACACGCACGCACACACGCACGCACGCACCCACACACACACACACAGTATACACCGGTGTATGTACACAAGCATGCAACATGCACATACAGAGTGACAGATGAGCAGATTAGCCACAGGAAAAAAATATCGCAGTCAAATCATCGCACATGGGATACGTGTGTTCGTAAAGCAACAGGTCAGACTATCGAAATGATCAAAAGCATCACAGCTCCATTACTTTGAGCTGTTTACAATCATTCCAGCTAACTGAGCATATCAACACAATCATCCCAGCTAACTGAGCATATCAACAACACATCTAGGCAACCGTTGATGGTGCCTTACAAGCAATGAATGCTCATTAACACAAACCCATGCATGTTTTGTGCGCAGCCATGTCCATCCCATTACTATGAGGAGAGAGAGAGAGAGAGAGAGAGAGAGGGGGGGGGGGGGGGCACAGCCAACTAGACACCATATCTTTGCATATCAAACAGCGCTGAGCAATCATCGTACCCGAGTCTAAAGGCAAGCGCGGGTCGAAAACCTGCCATAGAGAATCAACTTCCTGATCGGATGGGTCGCGGCGGCGGTGTATACTACCAGATGGGCCTAACTGCAAGCGTACGGCATCAGCATTGGCAGGATTCATAACTTCTGCTCGCTGGATCAAACGGACTGAATACAAGGAAAGAAAGAGGGGCGTAAAACCAGAATAAATTATCAGCAAATACAAAGCAACCTCATAGGCATTCTGATCTCTAGGAATCCCTCGTTTAAAAGCACTTGTACAATGTGGCGTACACGGCTGACATGGAACAAGAAAGCAAAACACATCCTTTCCAACTCTTCCCCACGCTGAGTGTAAAGACTAGATTGAGTTGAAATCTACACTCTTTACCTGTACACACCACACCTTGCATGCTACAAAGAACAAGTGTGGTACATTCACTACAGCCTTACTTGGATCCAAGAAGGCCAGAAGCAATGCTACCTGGCAGGGCTGCAGCTCCAGGAAACCCAGATCTTCATGTATGGCAGCAGTCAGACTCGTGCTGGTGTGCCGGTGCAGATAGAAGCAATGATACACACAGTACCACAGAACCATGCGCAGCTGGCAGCGCAGTGTCTCCTCCTCGTCAGACACGGCATCAGCAAGTGGACCGCTGCGTTAAAACAAACGACAACAACACACACACACACACAAACGTCAGTGAAGACAGGGGGACCGAACATAAACAAACTACTACGTCACATAGTTTACACCCATGCGGGAGCATCTACTGTCGTGGACATCATACTCGAATTATGAGTATTCTACTGTACTAACTAAACAATGAACAGTGCTGCTCAATGAAATCCTATCATGTGATTGAATGCCTGGCCGGACACTGTCCAACCCTAGACCTACAAACACTGGGATGTGAAGTGGTGCAGGGCTACGCAAACTTGATTCACGCAATCGAATTTTATCGAGCAGCAGCGTAGTTACCGTTACACGTCTGGAAGAAAAGCATGTGGTGTGATTGCGTGTACTTGTGGGGTGGCTGTGTCATGTGTGTAAGAAAAGACATCATTTTTCAAAATGGCTAACCCGAGGCAGTAACATGATGGCATCTGAGCTCCCCGCAACCCCCTCAGCCAAATCCTGGACACGTCACTGGAAAATGTACTCTTGATAACACTCAGAAGGATACTCCTGTACATTATTGTAGGACTTGCTAGGCACTGGCAGAAAGCGTATGTGTGTGCGTGCGTGCATACATGTACGCGTGTGAGCTTGAAAGGACTGCATGCTGTAGTACAAACATGTCAGATGGAGGCTGGTCTCACCGTAACGTAGCTACAAACATGCCAATAGATTCTTGCTCTTCTCTGCCGCGGAACTCTGCTGATCGTTCGATGATGTCACGTGAATAGCGGACCAGAGAGCGATAGATCTTGCCCAGGTCGGATGACTCAGAAGTGGACGGGTAGGCGAATGGCATCAGATGGCAGTTGATCACCAGTGGGTGCTGTGCATAGATCATAGATCAACAATGATGGACAATGGTGAACGTGGTGAGATAGCTCTAGTAATTTCTACTTCGAGTAGTTATATGCCATTTGGTACATTACATGCTGAGTTACCATGTTAACGAACTTGCCCCAGTTCTTACCTCCAGCTCATCAACGAATGGTTTGAGGAAAGGATTGAATGCAAGCACCAGTGTTTGCAGCTGATCACCAGTCAGCAGCTTAACCAGACGCTCAGAGCTGTGCAACTTGCGCAGCAGGCGCGACAGCAAGACATAGCTGTGACCACCCTTCTTGCCACCACCTACAGCACACATACACACGTTCATATGCACACGGTCACATACACACACACATTCATACACATTCATACACACATCAACCCGTGCATGCATATGTGCACACAATCGCAGGAACACAGATGCACAGGGTCGCAAAGACAGTCAGCCGTTGACATCAGCATGCATGAAAGAGGAAGATGATACACTATGAACGTGTGACTCCCACTTACCCGTTGCCTGATCAAGAACCCAGTTGTTAACCAGGTTGACAAGATCATGAGGGAAGTGTAGGCGCAGTCCCTCACGCTGATCGGCATCGCAGCCCAATGCATAGTCACCCATGCGGTCAGCCAGCTTGAATAGCAATACCTGAAACATACAAAAAAACCCACACACACACAAGTCCATATGCGTGTGAACGGGGCCATTCACGCACAGTATCTGTGCATTGCATTGCGAGAATGCAATGGCAAGAGATCAAGCAGTAAACACCTTGCAGAGCGCAGTGGTGACAAATGTTCAACCAAGCAGAGTCCTGGGTCACTGCACAGTCTACTGTTCACGGTGCTTGGGCTGTGCAGTCCCGGGACTGTTACAAGTATAATTATTCTCAACATTAAATGTCACTGACCATCGCTGTAAAACTTGCACCCCTCTTACTATAAATGGAGACATCCAGGAAACAGCATCGGCATGATCAGTCTTGCCCTTTGGCATCTCAAACTTTCAGTAGTACATGTACATTTACTGCCATGATTCAGACTCTTCTTCTCGACATCATGATCTTCAAGTTCTATAATGGCGAGTTGAACCTACCTGAAGAGTTGCTTGGTACTCGATGGCCTCAACACAGCTGGATGGTGTCTGTTGACACAAAGCATGCAACAGAAGGTACATTAGAAGGCTATACAGAATACAAGTCCACCAAAAAAAGTCCACAGATCTCCTAATTTCACCGAAAGCCCACCAAAATCTCTTCAGCAGTCAGACAACAGACAAATCAAATAACCCATGCCTAAATACACATCTACTCGTGTACATGCACTTACTTCAAGTCTACGCAGCAGGGCAGCCACGTGCAGCAGCTCCATGCCTTGGAGCGAAGACATGCGCTCAAACAGACAACACGTGAAATAGGACTCCGCCAGCAGACTACTATTCACTGCCAGATCCGGATAGGACTGGCGGATGTATGGCTGATCATAGAAGCATGGGATGAAGCTAAGCCACACCAAAAGGTAACAAAACACATAAAAGCACAGAATGGAGGACAGAACAGCAACAGCAGCAGGAGAGAACAAGACAGGACTTGACATTACAAAAGAGAGTATTGTTATGGAGAAAGAGCCACCATGCGGTCACCGAGAGTAAAGCAAAGGAGAACGCCACAGTGATGTGCTGCCTAAAACAAAAACATGCAGTGAAAGTCATGATGCAATTTTCAACACATGTATGTCTGAAGACTACGAAGCAGTACCCAAGCACAGCTTCCAAAGGTATAAGACACACACATACCAAGTGGCTGCATTCCTTCGGTTGTGACACAGCACTGCTTCAATGTTTGCACGTAGCTGGGCATAAAGCAAAACAAATACAAAAATAAAGAGTGCTTCCACACCGCATGGAGGCTTCAACAATGCATGTCGTTACACTGCCCACAAATGGGAAACATCACTTCACAAATGGCTAACATGTAAGGAATATCTTACAAGAAGGAATGGAATGCTAAGTCACACTGACCTTCTCATAGGCTCCTTCATCCCTTTGTACTACAAGTAGCAACTGCTGAGTCCAGTATTCAGCCATTGATGCTGTGAACAGCTCTTCACAGCAGGACCTGACGGCATTCAAGACGTGCACATTCTCATTACCGTCGCTTTGCACAGAGGCAAGGTGTGTCACCGGGGTTGGCTGATTGACCAAGGACCATCCTTCATCACTAAGCAGTATAGCAGAGTTGCTGTGGATGGACTTGAGCAACCACAGGCAGTCGGCCTCACAGTATATTGATGTATGCATGGAGAATGACTTGGGCAACGTGGGGAAGTAGTGCTGGAGTAGTAGCTGCAGTAAACCATACAGACGACAATCAGACATCTGTTGTTTACCGTATGTGCTCCATGTGCATATGAGATCATGCTGGGCTACTAAGTCTACTGCAGGATCTGACTGTGAATCAATATCGGCCAGAAGAATCACATGCTGAATGTCAAAGTCTGTACCTGGCTAGCTACATTACATGTATATAGCTAGTACAGTGCTGCTCAATGAAATCCAGTCGCGTGAGTCAAGTTTGCGCCTTGCCCAGTGTTCGCAGGTCTAGGGCTGCACAACACCCGGCGCATACTTGAGTGACACGACTGGATTTCATCGTGCAGCACTGTACACCTGCACACCTATCACTGTACCTGGATGAGCAGAGCACCGCTCCTGCGGAACTGCTGCCGGCCACTAGAGGTGACATTGCCATTCTCGCTGGTATGCACATCTTCAAAGTCCTGGCTATTGAGTTCATAGAGTGTTGCCAGGGCATGGTAAACGGCATCAGTGATGCTCAAGTATACCTGTGAACACAGAAATATGCACAGCACAGACAAGCAGAATGGGCACCGAGGAATAAGCTTGGGTTAGCTACATGGTTGACACAATCCTACTACAAAAGCACTGCAGTACACTAGTACACTGTACGGTAAAGCCTGTCCTATATGACACTGTTACCCACAGCATAATGGCCCGCCTGTCCACGCACCTGTCCTATATGACTGTTACCCACAGCATCGTGGCACTCCTGTCCACGCACGTGTGCGACGTTTGGCCCCAGACAAACTCAAAGCCGCTCGACAGACCACATGTTGGCTCTCAGTATAGTACGTCCATCGAGCAGCCCCTACTCGTCTCCGCTGCATATGGTACCCAAGAAATCTGGTGACTGGCGCCCGTGCGGTGATTACCGAGCCCTGAATGCTGCCACACAGCCCGATCGCTACCCGCTGCCACACAGCCCGGCCGCTACCCGCTGCCACACAGCCCGATCGCTATCCGCTGCCACACAGCCCGGACGCTACCCGCTGCCGCACCTGCACGATTTCTCCACCGTCCTCCAAGGTGGCACAGTATTCACGAAGATCGATCTGGCCAAGGCATACCACCAGATTCCAATGCACCCTGATGACATCGCCAAGACCGCCGTGGTCACACCTTTTGGCTCTTTAGAGTTCCTGCGGATGCTATTCGGTCTGCGCAATGCTGCCCAGTCGTTTCAGCGTTTCCTGGACCAGATACTTCATGGGTTATTATTCGTGTTCGCATACATCGACGGCTTACTGATAGCCTGCTGCAGCATAGAGGAGCACTTGAAGCACGTGGACAGTCCTGCAACGCCCAAGTATGGCCTTATCATCCAGCCGCTGAAGACCGGGCACACCTTCCGGTGGTGCAACATGCATTGGCCAAGCTACTTTTCTCTACAAAGGATAATGCCTGTTTTGGCTCAGAAGCATACGAGCCAAGTATTCAATTATATCCAGATTCACACACAGCCTACGGGCATAGTAACTGTTAGTTTCTCACAGATCTCCCCAATAGGACCAACGCCCGGTGCTGAAACCTCGTTGTGACTGGCCCTCTACTCCAACAGAAGGCCTGGGGTACGCGAAGGAAATGGGAGTAACTGGGTTTGCAGCGTCGAACGGATGGCTCAAAGCGTTTAAGAAACGATACGGTGCCAAGACTGCATTGCTCAGTGTCGAGGCGGCTGTGTACATACAACTGTGTACATACAATCATGTACATTCTGGATACAGTTGTGAGCCAATCTACAGCTGCTGAAGTCGGCACTGCTCAACGCTGCACAATCACTTGTCCAGTAGAGTCAAGTTGATGACTGGGTAGTTTGTCTTCCATAGCTTTGTGACGCATACAGCACTGTTGACATATTCAACGCGGACGAAACAGGATTGTTTTTCCGTGCTCTACTCAATCACTCCCTCGTTGCTAGCAACAGTCCTTGCAAGGGAGGGAAATCCTGCAGGGACCACATCACTGCCTTGCTTGGTGCAAGTGTAAGAGGAGAAAAGCTGCAGCAGCTAATCAAAGGGAAGTCTGAAAACTCGTGCTGCTTCTGTGGCATCAACAGAGCTGCACTTGGTGTCTGCTATGAAGCAAACAAGAAAGCCTGGGTGAACAGCGAGGTCTTCAAATCATGGCTTGAGTCCCTAAACAATTGTTTCTTGTCCAGCCCACCCTGACATTGACCTCAGTAACGTCAAACCAGATACTACTTCAAAGTTGCAGCCAATGGATGGTGGAATTATCCAATCGATGAAGCTGCAGTATCGCAAACGTTTCCAGCATGCAACTCGCCTGGAAGCAACAACTGGAGATTCGTACAGCGTCCTTATGGGACGGATCTGCTGTGAGCTTGGCTTCACACTAGTCCGTGACTCCGCCATGATGTTGCATGGGAGTCGGAGGAAGGTAAATTTTAGCCATCACCCCAGTGATGTCCTGAAGCATGAGTCGCTCATTCCAGTTTGACTCGATTCTTTTCGCTTTTGCTCAAGTGCATGTGGCATGATCGTTTCCCAGCTTCGTTCACCAGTTTCGCACCGTTGCAGTTTATCCTCTGTTACATATTTTTGTTTTGTTGTTTTCTTTCTCTTCTTCCTCTTTGCTCAAGTTCTATTCTTCTGTCATTTTGTTGTGAGTCCGCACGCTTTAACTTGCACTCGCAAGGTTGATCATTATCCCTTGAACGTTTTAGGATTTGTGCCCAGTCCTGAAGTTATCCTGAAGTTATTACTTATTGGTTTGTCTTTATTGTTTTGCATTTACTTAGAGCACGTTTATTTTTATTTTTTAGAGCATGTGCTCAATTCGTGTGGGCATGTGCCCTTTCCTGTTATAATTATTTCATCAATGTTATGGTAATATTTTGTTACAAGGGGTGGTTGTAAAAGACAGGTTTTACTGTGCTACCATTGGCATTGTTCCCGGGTTAAGAGGGGCTCTTTCAATTTGGAACTATTTTCTTGCATTTGATATTGCAGCTACAATTTGTTTGATTTCTGTGCTACTGCACCTCCTCTGATTCTGCCCTATATTCGATACACACTCTCTTTCTTTAACAGGTGTGCCGATGTGCCAGTCTGTTGCATCTCCCTTTCCTGCCTACCGGTATGCCCCCTTCTGCCCCTTGAATGCTACCGGATCCTTCCTCTTCTCTCTCTCTCTCTCTCTCTCTCTCTCTCTCTCTCTCTCTCTCTCTCTCTCTCTCTCTCTCTCTCTCTCTCTCTCTCTCTCTCCCCCCCCCCCTCTCTCTCTCTCTCTCTCTCTCTCTCTCTCTCTCTCTCTCTCTCTCTCTCTCTCTCTCTCTCTCTCTCTCTCTCTCTCTCTCTCTCTCTCTCTCTCTCTCTCTCTCTCTCTCTCCTCTTCTAAAATTCTCAAGTTCTCTCGTTTTATACTACACGGATCTTTGCATCAGGTCTAAATAAGAACAAGAGACAACACACAATTCCCAAGAGTGATATATGGGATTTATTTGTATTTCAATTCCTTCAACTAATGAATGATCAATTTGCCTATTCAAATACACACAAAATATCTGAGGATAGCTTGCACAGCTGACCGGTTACCAGCTGCAAGTTCCGGATATTGTTCACAAGGTCTGGGCACACGCTGCATGTGTTGCGATTTTGCTGTTTATTGCTGTACTGATATATTATGATCCAGGTTTTTGTTTGGCCTTGTGTGCCTGATCTAGAGCACTGGCTCTGTGTTTCGTTGGTTGGCCCTTGGGTTTTACGCCGTGGCTCTTCGTGAGGTGGTTGGTTCTTCTGGTAGGGCCAACGTCTAAGCAAGCAATCGCAAAACATTGAGCAAGAGGACCTACCGTATCCGCTGTTGTGTTCCGGTCAAGAGCCACTTGCAAGGCCATGACAAGGTGAATGACTGCAGAGATGTTCTCAACTGACAAGTGAATGATGTTGAGCAGAGCACTGATGACTGCACAGATGTTCAGTTTGGCTCTGTGCTTTCCTTGCAGAAGAGGTGTGTACAGCAGATGTGGCATGGACTGAAGCTGCACGTGCACACAGACATAGATATGTACAGCGGCGTGCACATAAACAGACGAGCATGCATGAATACATTCACACACCCCACATGCATACACACACACATGCACTCATATATACATGCACTCATATATGCACACACACGCACATACACATACATATACATACATGACCTATACTCAATGATGCAGACAGCCAGACTGTTTTGGCCAATGAGGCCTCATCAGTGCAACTCCGAGCTTAAAATAGGATTGAACTGTCAGCCATGGCTATGAGAACCACAGACATTATACATGACCTATACATAATGTACGTCATAAGCATGCCCAGGTCAACATGCCATTTTACGTGACATTACGGTAACCGACTCGCGACAGCCATCCAAAGCACAAAAGAAGAATGTCAAACCATCCACCATACTCGGACAATCTTGTTTTACTTTGAAGTATAATCAATGTCCCATTTCTAGCACACATACATTGCACACAAATCAATTTATAGCATTTCCGGTCATGCCATGTCAATAAACATACCACAGACATGTACGCAGAATGCCACCGGGAGAGGTTGTCGACACCGACACTTGCCTCCGGACGATCTCGGAAACTCGAGACCAAGCCAGTGTGAAGCGAGGTCACAAGGAACAGTGTCAGGCGAGCTTCAAGCTGCTGCGTTGCTCTGTCAGATACTGCAAGTTGCTCAGATGACTACCACAAAGGACATCAACACAAGAATACATGTACATAATCATTTAGATGATTTCAGTTGCAATTCTTCTTGGCAAGATTATCCAACCAAAAAGGTTTGCAAGGATTCGGCACAAGCCGCTTGGACATCATGAATTTCTTGTCTTTTTCCATGCTCAAACGTACTCAGAGTAGGCTGCAATCTCTTATTCAAATACGGAGCAAATCAATGGCACAGTAGAGCTAGTCCTGTGCTCATACAGTGCTCAATGCCCCAAAGGGTAGAGCTTCCGTTGGGAGACAATCAACTGAATATCCAATGGATGTAAAGATTGTACGCGCCTGGAAGCACGCATTGGCACAGTGTACAATGGTAGAGACTGAGCAACACTGGATGCTAAAAAAAGTCAATATGAGTACATGTATACCAACAAGGAACCTGCTCTGCCCAGCCAAACACCAATTGTAAGTAGAAACATTCCACTACCTCGTCCATGAGACCATCAAGAGCAGCGAGAGGACGCAGTGACTGCGAGAGCTTGGATAGCGCTGGCAGACGGAAGTGCGAGAGGACATGCAGCAGAATGAGTCTCTTCTCAACAGGCTGCACCTATGATGAACAATGAAAAAAGAAAAGAAAATTCACAACAGAACCATGACTTGCATGCCTGCATAGAACATTGACTGGTCTTCATTACTGACCCTGGTTCTCGAACCAGTTATTACTAGAAAAGAAAATTTAGTCCAGGACCAAACAGATGTCATGCGACCACTAGCCGATAGGTACACGTGTTGACAAGCCATAACACATCTTATAAGCTGGCAGTAGGCATGTAATGTGATCAGTGTGCAAGCAACGCAACACTACAGGCATCAGCAGTACCGGCGGCGGCATCAGCAGCCCTACAGGCTACAGGGCATCAGCAGCCCTACAGGCTACAGGGTATACATTTTCTTACTGTTAGTCCCTCTAGGAAGACGGAAACCAGCAAGTGCTCAAAGTCAGCTCCCGGCCGATGACCGGGTGATTGTCCCCTGGCCTTTGCACTGCTACTGCTGATGCGCAGACGCTGGCGAATGAAATCATTCAGGTACAGCTGCCACAAGCATGGATAGCGAGCCATGAGCTGGTATGCTATCAGCGGTGTTCTGTCAGTCACAGTCTGTATCACAAGAAACCGCAGGAAGACGATAGGAGTGGATGAGCAAATCAAAAGCAACCATATCACATTGAGATGCATGTGTGGTAAGGAGGTGCATTCCCTTGAGTATCAGTCACACATACTGGTAAGCAAGAATGAAGATACTCATGCACGCACACACCAGCACACACGAGCAGGCACGCGGACAAACACACGCACGTACGTACGCACGTACACACGCACACACGCACACACGCATACATGCATACATGCACATGTACCAACTGTGCATACCATTGACAGCTGGACACCCATTAGAATCTGAGACTCCTCACCACCCTCGAGATTATAACAAAAGAAGCCTCCATACACTTGCTGACCAACAACCTCTGGTATGTACATGTGCATAGCTGGGCATCCATGATAACCAACATCCACCAAAGTACAGTAGCTTGCTATTACACAATACCCCCTACCCCCTACCCCCTCACAGACAAGAATGCCTCACCCCACAGCGTTCCAGCTCGTGCAGACGATCAAACATGGCCGCTGCAGCACGCTCTTCCAGCTGCTGTTGACTGTCGGACGAGGAGGAAAACAGCTGTTCCTGCTCACTACCTCCAGCCGCATTGGCATTCCGCGCTGGTGCAGCAGGCTTGCCATGCTCATCAGTGATGACTTGCTGAAGAATCTGCGCGTTGGCACTCCACACTCGCTGGAAGAAGGGAAAGGTGGGCGGTGGAGGAGCCAGGTGACGAGGCATTCTCAGGTCGGGCATGTGATTCATGGCCTGTGGTACAATAAAGAACACGTATCAATCCGGTCACCACATGAACACAAGTGTTGGCTAAGCTATGCATTGTTGTAATTTGTTCTCACCAGTTTCCATTTCATGTCTGTACTCTGAGGTCTTCAACTTCGAAGTCATTGCCAGAATGTATTGCACTATTTGAACGTATCAATGTGTTAGAGTCGTAGTCTACTCTCTATTACTAGTATTAGTTTGAGCAGGCCTCAACAACCAATAATTAATTAATTTATTATGTAAAGTAAAGACCACACTCTCAGTATTGCAGAGTGCAGCACAGGACACAGAGACTACCCAGTTACGGGTACAGGTGCAGGCACTGGTACGAGTAGGATTACCGGTATGGGTACATGTATGCGTACTGGTAAGGGTGGGTACAGGTACAGGTACTGGACCGGATAATGGGGGTACGGGTACTGGTAGGGGTGGGTACAGGTACTGGACCGAATAATGGGGGGTGGGGGGGGGGGTACGGGTACTGGTGGGTACAGGTATAGGTACTGGACCGGATAATGGGGGTACAGGTGCTGGTAGGGGTGGGTACAGGTACTGGACCGGATAATGGGGGGGGGGGGGGGTACGGGTACTGGTGGGTACAGGTATAGGTACTGGGACGGATAATGGGGGTACGGGTATTGGTAGGGGTGGGGGTGGGTACAGCTACAGGTACAGGTACTGGAATGGATAGCGGGGGTACGGGTACTGGTCAGGTCCTGGTACTGATATCAGTACGGGCAGGGGGGGGGGAGGGGGTACTGGAATGGATATAGATACAGGCACAGGCACCTACCTTGATGCTACTATAGTTTGGTAATGGCAAAGCATCTGTAACCGCACAAAACAGATCCATCACGGCTGCACCCATTTCTGTATCAACCGCCGCCTCTCGATGAGAACTACCATCATGCGCAGGAGGTGAAACACTTCTTTCTGTCGACTTGGAAGCCATTAACCTAGCGAGCACCTCAAAATTGAAGTGCTCGTTCAGCTTGCTAATCAGCAATGTCAGAACGTTTTGCACCACCAATGAAAATACATCCTCCAGCTGTACACGCCATGGCAGAACAAAGAACAACACAACAAAACAGAGCAGCAGCAGCAACAACAACAACAACAACATGGATAAGAACAACAACTAGCTGATACAAACCAGTAGTTTGGTAACACACACTTACCAAATAAAGGACATGTTGGGAATATGGAAACGTAATATCACATTTCCGGGGAATAGACCACACTTCTATTGCTCAAACAATAGGCCAGCAATCCACCATGTGGCTTAAACTTCGAACGCTCATTTTAGTACAAACAACTACAAACTGGAATGTGGCCGGCACAGTCTATTGCCTGGAAAATACAGTAAAAAGAACATTGTACCACATTTTCACCACTTTTCCATTACCCACATACAAGCTATTGCCACCTTGAGGAGATGAGTTGCACTCGAGGAGTTGTACAGCTGAGGCAATATCCTAAACAACCAAACTTCCACATCATCTCAGAAAGTAGACAGGAAGGACTGCTTTGCAGAAACGCACCCTGGGGCAGTGCGTCCCTGAAATTCAGATTCAGTTTTAAATGAACGTCATTTTCGCTCACCGTCAAAAATCACAGAATCACAGGAAGCATGCATGATAGAACGCTAGCGTGGTTTGCGAGTGTTACCTGCTCTGTGAGGCTGAACGAGTCACTCTGCTGGTGAGTGAGTGTGGCGGTAGCATGGAAATGATCAAGCACGGCCTGGTCACTCCAGTACTGAGCAATTCTCTTGCACACAACACTGGACAGTGGATGCACTGGTGACATGATCTCGGTCAGCAGCTTGAAGCGACGCCTGGCATTGACTTCACCATTGAACCAGCCACCAGGACAACTTCCAAACATTATCCTGAGCACACGCACGCACGCACACACATACACGCACGCAAACACATGCACATGCACACGCGCACATGCGCACACACACACACACATACACATACACACACACACCACGCACACACATACACACACACACACACACACACACACACACACACACACACACAGCAAGAACAATGTTGCACCACCATGCAAGCGTATACTAGCACACATAAATTATCACAGAGCAGCAGCACTAGAGGTTATCCTCATACATCATCACAATCTGATCACATACAATGTACAGTGTGTATATAGCACCATTAGTATTTTTTATTCCTTATGTAACTTATACAGTCAAACCTCGTTAGGACGATGAACTTCAAGGGACTGAACAAGTCTGTTTGTCTTATCGGGAGTTCTTCTTATCCAGATCTGACAAAAAAGCGATATGCATATCATATGGATTGTATTTACGTGAAGGTGCATGCTGTGGTACATGGGAAGCATTTTATTCTTAGCATAAGTCAGAAACAGGTAAGTGCAATGACAATGTGCAATGAATCACGACTGCACCGAAAGTAACGCGCTGATTTTGTTTAAAAAAAACAATTTGCACTGTACGTACAGGTACAATATGGCCTCAACTATTGAAAAAAAGAAGAAGAAAAAAGCAGCCAGCGCACGCGCACGCTCGTGGACCGAAAGTTTGTACTACATGTACATGACCACACTGATTTTGCTCAAAAAACATTTGAAAATAATTCGTCTTCGCGAAAGTTCCATGTACAGAAGTTCGTTGTACACGAATAATTTTGACTTGAATTGATGCCTGGCCAACCACAGGATTGGCCCTAGTTCGTACTAATGGAAAGTTCGTCTTATCAGTGTTCGTCCTAACAAGGTTTGGCTGTATTTTATTCCTTATGTATGTGTGACGTCATCACTTTCAAGTCATACTCTGCTAGTTTGTGCATATTTCAGCCAGAATGGGCTGGATATATTGTGCCACAACTTAGTCATTTTTCAACATTTTGATCCATTGGTTTTGCATTCCACTCTGTACAAACACAGCAGCGTCATCCGTGAGAGCTGGCCAATTTTTTGCCCAACGCACTCTTTACTCGTGCTGCGGCGGCTCCTATAGGATAGAAACACACCATGTAGTACAATACTACAACACCATGGCACTGCAGCACAGTGTAACACAAGTGCTGAGCTATGGGACCAATTGAATTTCAGCAACATATGAAGATATTCAAAAGTGTGCACGACTTGACTAGAAGTGGAGAGGTAAACAGAGTGGGAAAGAGAGAGAGCATCCAAGATAAGCCACACATGCACGAACATTCTCCATACCTGGATACAACCACACGCAGCGCCGCTGGCAGTTGCTCAGCAATCGAGTAGCGAACAAGCGATGCGAAGTTCTCTGCCAGCCCCACGGGTGGATTTGACAGGCACGTAAGACGCATCAGTTTACTATAAAGAGCCCAAGAAACATACATACACACACACACACACACAAACAGACACAGACACAGACAAATGCACACACACACACACACACACACACACACACACACACACACACACACACACACACACACACACACACAGTTGCATACAGACGTATGAATGCACACATCCATACACACACATACACGCACGCACGCACGCGTGCACGCGCGCACACATGCACACACACACACACACGCACACACACACACACACACACACGCACACACACGCACACACACGCACACACACACACACAAACTAACACAAACCCATGCTGATGTTTTGATGAAACAGTGGACCGCAGATACAACCAAGGTATACACACACTTGCAATGAACTGTCGACTGATGAAAACAGCACTCAGCACAGAACTACATGAAGACTGGAATAAATAGTACTTGAAATGCCAGCTACACTTACTGTACATTGACTGCACCTGGCGAAGTGCCATGAGAGATGACCTCCAGGTAATGGTGATCCCATCCCAGCAGAAACAATGCCGGGTAGCTGCTGGGACCATGGAGACGTTCAGCCGCCGAATGCAGCAGGACAACAAACAGCTTGGTCTTGCATGGCGCGTTTCGTTCCTGGCAGTTGTGCAAACACAAAAGAGATACAAAAAGTTCTACCGCTATTTCGTAGAAAGATAACATGAAGAAAACCCTCTACGAGTATGTACACTGATGTGATACACACACGTGGGAAACAAACACACACTTTGTACGCACACAAGTAGCGCAAAGTACCGCGAGAGCACCCCACCAAGGCCAACCATTTAGGGTCGTGTTTCGGAGGTGCGGTCGTGTCTGTAGGTCATACGACAAGTACGAGGTCATTTGCTATTTTTGGACACTCAAATTTAATAGCACCCTATTATGTTGGTTTGTAAGATAAATTAAATTTCTTTCTTGCTTTTCTAGTGGCACACTTATGCTTTACCACCACCACACACACCTGAAGGCATAGAGTTGAAGCATGCGGCCACAACTTGACCTGATCGAAGGTGTCTTTTTCTACTGCTTTTTCAATGCGAGCAATTATTGGACAACTAAATTAAATAGCATCTAGCAGCAGTCTGCAATGGTGTGAACAAGTAAAACTTGCACAGGACATGAAAATGGGGTAAGGCTATGCCTATGAGACCGGCTGATATGAGTTCTAATGACAGGCCGTTCATAGCAAGCTTTTTAAGGCTTTTCAATGTGACACACAATTTAAAGGGTCACTCAAGGGTTTTCATGGACGTCATATTCAAGAACAGAGGAGAGCACTCCAGTGACTGTGTGGCCCATCTCCTTCTCATATTTCGCAAAGAGTGGAGGGCTAGCGCCGTAACTAGCCGCTGCGTCCTTCTTGGTTAGGAAGTGTTCACTGGTGCCAGGTGAGTGGAACGCTCGCACTGCTAAACGAGATTTCTCCTGACCAGAACCCCTCCACAAATGCACCGGTTGAGAAGGCGAGGAGACTCTTCTAGGCGGATTCGAGCTGGAAGACGTAGTCCCTGGAGTTGATGGAAGGGATACAACATCCCCCATGTCGACATTCTCTCCGTTATGCGACGTAGAGTCAACGGAATCCTCAATCATTTATTATTTAATCGAAATTTTCAAAATTACTCATTACATTACCTAAGAATAATAAAGAAAACGCCCAGAAAGAAACGGCCTTCACCGCTAAAAATTGACACGAAGAAACTTGAGGACCACACGAAGACACTCTTGTCAAAGATTTGTCCACCAAGGAAAGGACAACGACTCAGGGGGACTCTACTTCCATATTTAACTGATTTGTCCAAAAATTGCGACATGTCCAAAAATTGCGAATCACCTCGTACCTTGTACACACATTGCATGCTATGCAGGCTATCCATCCTTACAATGTAGTTTACCTTCGAGTGATTGTCAGTTCCACACAAGAACATGCTAAGTGTGACCTTAGTTCACTTTGCTTCTCACACCGTACAACTTAGTAGCATTATGCCACACAAATCTCCTTTCCTTGGCTGTAAAAATCAAGGTAGCGCGCTCTCACGGTACTTTACGGCACACACATACAAACACACTACTAAACAGACAAAAATTAACTTACTCGCGTGATTGCCTACACCTCTTCTCGGCAAGACTACTGAATCTGCAGTATTCATATACTGGTACTTGATGATAGAGATTAACTTACTTGTATAATGGCCCTGGATAAAGACGTAGCGTTAGACCGTTCCTCATCTTCAATGCTCAGTCTCAGGTGGTTGATCCTCTGACGAGAGCAGTTTGCTGTGTCTGCCATGAACACCAGCACTTGATGAGTTTCAGATCGGATGAACCGCTGCAACATCGTCTTCATTTGCTCCTGCCACACAAAGCAAGACACAGGGACACGGCATATTATCTTTGTTCCAGAGAAACAAGAAATATCGCATGAGACTCAGTTTGACTAAGTTTCCAAAAAAATCCGCAGGAACGGCACCACCAGAGAAACATAGCTAAGGCCAGAAATTACGACATCCAGGAATGCAAAAATTCCGTACATGGCAAGGTAGCTGGAGTTTGCAGCCCACCATTGTACTTGCGCTAGGGTTTTCCTCTACCTTAACACTTGCGGCAGTAATGTCCTCTATCATGAGCTAGTTCAGATTGTTCCTGGTTGCCGCAAAGGACTCCAGGCACCACCTGAACACTACAGTTGACAAGGACATTCACAAAGTGCCAGGGCCGTATGCAGGGCCACAGCGAAGTCTCCTGGGCGCCACAGTAACTTAGCTGGGGAATAGGGAGGAAATCCCACCCAAAGCCCGGCCCGGCGGGTAAGGGTGAGTTGGGACAGCGCAAGGATGTCCCGGAAAAGCAATTCTGTGATTGTCACGAACTCACTGCTTGACACCAAGCAATATTCGTCACTAAAGGTTCGAAGGTCTGGTGCATTGCCTTAGCGCATCAACAGCACACCATGCCTGCTGTTGGTGTAAAGTACACAAGGATCCCAGGTGGAACGTTGACTTTCCTCCAATTCACGGGTTTTCCCGATCACTTGCGTAAAGTTGCTCAACTTTACGTAGTGCAGAACCTCGTGCTTGCGAAATGGGCTTTGGCATTGGCCATAGCAATGCATGTTGGTCCTGATAATACCACCACCATCAAGGGTGTCATGTCTGAAATCGGCCACTATTCACCACGGCGCAAGAACTGCGTACGTGCAAACCAACATCATGACCGTGATCTATGCTGAAATCAGATGGTTGCTAAAATGGTACAAAAGACGTCCTAGCCTCGTCAATATCTTTGACGAGGGAACCATCAGCACATGCATGTACTTGTCCAACTCTTTTACAGCCATTTCCACTTCTTCTGAAGCTAGTTTTTTTCATAAAAAGATGGGCCCTGGCTCTGGCGAGCTCCTGTATTTGGCGATTTTTCGTGATTTTATCGTACACAGTGCAGTGCTGCGAAATTTGAACTTTGAAAAAGGGTTCAAAAGGGTATCTGAACTAGGGTTGCACTGTCGCAGGCGGGGTCAAACGGCCTGGATGTTGATGGTTTTCCCCAATTCAGTGCTTTTTGGGGCAAAACCTGGCCGAAATCCTATTCTTGCTAGGGCTCGCTTTTGGACAAGTAGGCTTCAGAAACATAATTGGAAGAGGATTCCATAGGTGATTGCGGAAAAAATTCTAAAAAAACTCAAAGTTTGACCCATTTATGGCCAAAAGCTAGAAGTCGATTTTTTATGAATGGACTGTAGCATATACACCTGTAAGGCACAATGCATATGTGTTCACCGGGACAAGGACGAAAAGATAATAGAGAGCCACTAACTTCAGTGTGGATGTGATCCAGTTTGCCCAGCACAATCTGATCCAAGTCTTCACAGACTAGCTCTTTCAATGCGGTGATAGTGTCGGCCGGAACAGTAGAGACATCATCAACAGGCCAGCTGTGAGCTATGCGATGGAGTTGGGGCTTGGTTTGTGTGAAGATGAGTAGCTTATTATTGACGGAGTTGCTGTCCGTACTAGAGTTAAAAACACATAGAACACAAGAACAACGGTAAAACAGACGACAGGACAACATGCAAAGAGATGTCAATAAGGCTACTTTACAAACACACATGAGTACCAGGTATGGGCCGAAAGGAGGCAACCTACTTGGTCTGTTAGCTCTCAATCACAACAAGACTTGCTTGTCTAAATTGACATTCCGTCAGTTTCTGGTCATTCCGGCAGCAGCAGCAGTGGATGACCCACTCATTACCTACCTGTTGTCAAGCATCTCTACCTTGCTGGCAAGCAAAGCTTTGAGATCAAAGTGAGACTGCTGTTGTAGGTAAGTATCCATCACCCAATCAGGCAGCACTGATCTCTTTAGTACAAGCACTTCGGGACGTAACAGCTGCAGAAGCCGTGACGTCATTCGCATCACAATCCACTGCAGGATGATGGCGGTGACAAAGCGTTGACCATTGTGAAAGTTGGCACATTCACCTGTGACACACATAGACACACATAGACACACAGACACAGACATACACACACACACACCGCATATACACACAAACATGCATTGGCATGCCGAGCACCACCCCAGTCAGCAAACTCCCATAAAATAATAATAATATGTGAAAGATCGCGTACAATATGCATTGACACAATAAGTATAATATTACTGTGCAACACATGGTTCCGCTGCTGTTCCTCGGCTAGAGATCGCCCGCACCCGCAAGCGCGTTATGTCGCGTGAGTAAAGCCTCTCCAAGCTGCTCGATCCTGGGCCATCATAGAGAGCTCGTCCAGGTGGTACTCAGTGGAAAGTCCTGATGCATTCCTGTGCAACGCGTCACTGTGCAGAACACCCGGCAGTGTGGTTCCAAACTCCCATACCACTCTCCTAAAAGAGGTCCGTTGAGCAATTGACTTCCTCCAGCAGCAATGTATCCTCTTATTTCAGTACCCCATTTCTAGTTGTGGAGGTGTGACCACATGACCTAACATTTTCATTTTCAAATATCAGATTCAGCATGGCTTACATTCCAGAATGACAGTAGGCCAACAGCCACAACTTTCCATGTCTGCGGACTGACATACATGCATGTACATGTACTTGCTATCTTTCCATAGTTTCCATCATTGTACCTGCAGCTCTGGGAGTAGCAACTCTGCAGTGCATGTAGCTCCGGGCAACTCTGCAGTGTACATGCAGTTCTGGGAGTAGTGACTCTGCAGTGTACATGCAGTTCTGGGAGTAGTGACTCTGCAGTGTACATGCAGTCCTGGGAGTAGTGACTCTGCAGTGTACATGCAGTTCTGGGAGTAGTGACTCTGCAGTGTACATGCAGTCCTGGGAGTAGTGACTCTGCAGTGTACATGCAGTTCTGGGAGTAGTGACTCTGCAGTGTACATGCAGTCCTGGGAGTAGTGACTCTGCAGTGTACATGCAGTGCTGGGAGTAGTGACTCTGCAGTGTACATGCAGTCCTGGGAGTAGTGACTCTGCAGTGTACATGCAGTGCTGGGAGTAGTGACTCTGCAGTGTACATGCAGTTCTGGGAGTAGTGACTCTGAACTATGTGTAGACATCTACATTGTACTTACCACTGTCATTGCCTGTGTACACTCCTTCTGGACTGGTGGTGTAGAGGTGATCCAGTGCTCCCAATACGTACTCTCGGAAACGCTTCGGGTAACGCAGGTCAGACTCTAGAAGACTCTTGGACATGAGTGGCTCTAGATCAAAGGCCTGTTGAAGAAGCTCTCCAAACATTTGCTCCTTGTGCGTCGTAGGCAGGTCAACGAAGCGGAAACCTGCCTCTGCGCGCATAATGTTCTCAAACATGTTGAAAACTATCATCTTGGCTTTCTGAGAAGGGGAAGAGATGGAGTGACACACGCACGCACGCACGCACGCACGCACACACACACACCGACACCAGCTGTAATAAAGCATTTTGTAACACCTCTCACAGCAATGCTGTCACGATAACCTATGAAAAGTTGAAAACGCACACTAGCACATACAGACACATGCTACAGACCGATACTACCGATGCACACACAGACACACACAGACACACACAGACAGACACATACAGACACATACAGACACAAACAGCATTCAACTGAATGCGCCAAGCATGGCGTTCAAATAGAGAAACAATGGCAGCGAGACCAATAAAACCCTGCTATGAGTACATCTACAGTGCTGCTCAATGAAATCCGGTTGAGTAAGTCAAGTTTGCGCCTTGCACCATTTCACATCCCAGTGCTCGCAGGTCTAGGGCTACGGAACGCCGGGCGAGTACTTGAGTGACGCGACTGGATATCACCATATCATTGAGCGGCACTGTACCTTACCTGCATATCATGTGGCTCTCTGGCATCACCCCGTGTCAGACTAGCGGCCTCCATTGGCTCATAGTCACTCTCCTCCTCCTCGTCATCTTCTCCTATGACATCATACTGGCGTGTGTACAGCTTATGGCCAGGCAGTGGCAGAAAATCTATGAACAGCGATACGATGGTTTCGGAATTGAAAGAAGTGAAGTTATTCTCGCCGATGAATTCCACAAACTTTTCCACCTAGCAGTATAAAGACAAGTATAAAGGTGCACATACAGACACACATGCAGACACAGACACAGACACACACACACACACACACACACAGGCACAGACACACACACAGACACACACACACACACACACACACACACACACACACACACACACACAGGCAAAAAACCCATAGTGACTGTGCTGTGTGTATTGGCACTGAAAATCTGAACAGCGCTCCAGTAAAATATATCTTCATTCAATTCAACTGCCCAGCAATACAATCATGTGTTGGCCATTCGAGCAGGCGACTAAGCACTTTGAACGGACAAAGTTGCCGTTGCCTACGCTCGGACTACTTAAGCGAAAATGATCTTAGAAAATGGGGGTGTGGACAGTGAAACTGCCGGCTAGCAAGAGCACATAACCCATAGAGGGCGCAGGTGTGAATGGGACAAAGATGCAGAGTAATTTCTGATTAGGACTTCACTGACTTTCGTAGCTAGCTAAGCTAGCTACATGAAACTTGCCATGATGATGTTAGGATGATACAACAATAGATCAGAAATTTCCAAATAGTGCAAACGGTCCCCCTCTTCACATGCACACACGCACGCACACATGCACACATGCACATCCCGCATGCTATCAGGCAAACACATTCAGAAGGACATATCACATAAGTAGGGTTGGAAAGTTCTCTCTGACCTTGTCCATTGCCAGCATGATGACTTCCTTCATGCTGTGCGGAAGAGACTTGAGCACGACATCAAGCAGGTTCCTTTGTGACAAGCGGTACTTCTCAAACCGGTTGAGGAAAGGCAGCGGAGCCAGGTGCAGCTCTGCAGCTCTGACATGCACCACACACTGGAATGATGGATCCACACGACTCAGCTTGCTGTGCGACCCAATGGCAATGTTGGCAAAGTAGCGTACACCCTGCACACAAGAAATCAACGCACAGCAAAGCCATTCCTTGAAAAATCAACTGAGAAATTGAACCCTGACATGTTTTGGGTTGAAAATCCCCACTTTGATATGCTGTGCTTTGACCAAATCAATCTACAGTACATAGACAATGGAGTGATCATGTGCAAGTACAACTCATGCCAGCCACATCTCCATGAGCTAGCTATGGAATACTATGCACACAGAATCATCGCACCTTCGGATCAGCGATTTGCCTGAAGCGCTGGTTGAAGAGGTCATAGAAGGACTCGTTGATGGCGTCCGACTCACTGAGTACAGCTGTGCTGCCCTCGAGTGCAGCATGGCGAATGGATGAGACGAGATTGATCTGTGCAAGTGTCAGATAGCCACACGAACACATACACACACATGCACATATGAACGCAATTCAAGTTCACATGAGAGTTCAATCAACAATACAGGAATGGTGAAAGTGTGAATGGACAGCATTCCTTTCACAGCAGTTAAAAAAAACAAAAAAAAACAAGTACAAACGTCTTGCTGGCAGCTGATTTCAGCAAACCCTTCTTGTGTCATTCCCCCTATACTGGTAACCACTATTTCCCTAAACAATGATGATAGTAACTAGTAAGGGGGCTCACCTGCTGCAGCTCGCTGTCGCCAGTAAAGTCAGAGCAGGTGAAGCAGCGTGTGCGAGCTTCATCGAGAATTTTGTAGTGGAACAGCAATCGGGTCATGCTGTCATCCTCACTCTCATCAATGATCAACTTGTAGCGAACCTGAGTTGCAAGAAGAAATGCAGAAAAGCAACGGAGAGTACCAGGTTTAGGACAGAGCTACCCAATAGGTTTCATTCTCCCCCCCCCCCCCCCCCCCCCCGTCATCATGTCTATCATGTCCCAGCAGTTCTGCATGCAGTGTCACCATGCACACACATGCCCGCGCGCGCGCACACACACACACACACACACACACACACACACACACACACACACACACACACACACACACACACACATGCACGCACACACACGCACACACACACATGCACGCACACACATATGTACACACACGCACGTACATACATGCACAGACGCACGTACACATGCGTGCACACATATACACTCTCTCTCACTGAATGGATTTTGTTGAGCTTCTATCTTTCCGATTGCCAACACACAGTCAGGGATGACAGGTTGCTAGGAACAAGGTCAACATCGCTCCAGTTTGCCAATTCTCTGGTGTACAACGTATGCGTAAGCAGACGAAATGACAACTTGCCTGGTCCTGGTCACAAGCCAGAGAGTCCTGAAGTTCGTCCACGCTGCTATCATCAGCAAATCTATGCCGTTGCTGGAACTGAGCCATTGGGTTGTCCTCTATGCTCTCGGCGAGAATCTCCACCACACTACGCTGCTCAATCTCCTGCAGACGCTCCTTGCTGACATCCATCTGAGTACAATGGGCAGATGAATAATACCAAACACTAATACTTCAATGATGATCAGTGATCGGGCACTTACCAAGAGACACAAAATAACCTGGCAACAGTGTGCAGCAAAGGGTACATACAATATGGAAAGAACAACAAGCACCAGACAGAACCAGGTGCGAACACAGACAGAAACTGCGATTGATGATAAATGGAGCACAACAATCATTTTAAAGGTGCCAGGGGATAATGAGGAAAGAGGGCTGCAGCTAAGTTAGACATCAACTCACCGCCGCCAAAAAGCGATGAGCCAGGTCCTTGAAGTCTTTCTCAAGGATACCATTGAAGTTCCTTTCCAGGCCACGCAGAACAATCTGTGGTGTGATCTCCTGATCCTTGAGAACACCGCGTCGGAGGTAGTGAATGAAGTGAATAAAGTCTCGTAGACCGAAAAACGAGCTGTAGCTGAGAACACCATAACCCAGTACAGGGCCCAGAAAACAGTCAACAACCATGACAATCCATTGTTCCACTTAAAAAAGTCGTTTGCACTTTTCTGTACTTTAGGCATGTGCAGCACAGACACAGACTTGATTTTAGTCGAGTCTCCAGCTACTGGTGTAATCTTACGCCGATAGGCTATCGAGATCCTACCTCTCTACTCTGACTGTTATCAGGTGTGCACTAGCTTCCGAGTTCAGGGGCGTAGCAGCCGGTCCGGTCCGGCTTTGGACGGACAACTTTTTTTTAACACAATGCCAAAAGTGCCCAGAATGCAGGAATTTGCACCCTAGTTTCAAAATGTTCCCGTGCGAGAGCCCCTGGGCCCCCTCGAATGGTTGGTGCTACGCTCCTGGAGTTCGAGTTGGTTTGCAGGACACTGCGAAGTTCGAGTTGGTTTGCAGGACACTGTAAAGAACGTGATCGTGTTCGAGTACTGCTGGTGTGCTTGGTGTCTGTGAGAGTGTGTGAGAGTGTGTGGCGGCGGTGCACACGCGTATTCAACATTGGTGAACAAGTGCAGCAGCAGGCTCAGCCGTGTGTGCTCCGCAGATGACAAGGTACAAGAACGCGAGGATTACCGTAGTTTCTGGAGTATAAGCCGCACCCCCCCCCCCCCCCATTTTTGCCACGGTATACAGACATCTGCCCTATTTATCACGGTTAACGTGATCCTAAGAGTATAAGCCGCACCCTCTTTTTTGGATGAATTTTGAATGTTCAACGTGAGGTTTATACTCCGGAAAATACGGTACGCGTTTACCTTGTACCATCGAAGTTGGCTGGCTCGCATACTTCCCGTAGGCCGTAATCCAGTCCCTCCTGGAGCGTGTGGAGCGCTTGGAATCGAACATCATCGTCCCAACCAATCGCAAGCTGTATGTATATGGCAGGTCTTGGCTATCAGTAGCTGGATGTTTCAATGCTCCCCAGGAGATTGGACCCAGCAAGTGCACCGTGGAGTTCTTAGTTGTGGATAGTCCTGGCGAGATTCTTCTGGGCTGTAACGCTGTGCGTCTGTTTGGAGCGCTCCACTTGCCAGATGCAACACGCACATGCCATGCAAAAGGACAAGGTTGAAGGGAACAAAAAGGCGCTGGAAGGGCCCAACTTGATCAATCTGATCAAGGCCGCCAATGCCTGTGGCGTCTGTTTTAATGTGTGGGAGGAGAAGAACGGCGATGGTGCAGCGAGCGGGCACCACACATTTACCAGTTTGATGGGAACCGACAAAATGAAGCTCCTAAGCGGAATCACTGCCCAAGGACAAACTAGAAGGACATAAGGTGCTGGAAGCGCCCAACTTAATGAATGTCATCAAGGCTGCCAATGCCTGCGGTGTTTCCTTCAACGTGTGGGAGGAGAAGAACGGCGATGGTGCAGCGAGCGGGCACCACACATTTACCAGTTTGATGGGAACCGACAAACTGAAGCTCCTAAGCGGAATCACTGCCCACCTGGACGGCTAATGGCTGACACTCAGGCATTTTCTCCCTTTCTATGTCCATGGCTTATGTTATGAAATGTGCCCTTTGTTTAACAACTACACACTCATACACTCATACACACATACACTCATACACACATACACTCATGAACACACACACACACACACACACACACACACACACACACACACACACACACACACGAACGCATGCACACACACACGCACACACACAGACACACACACGCATACACACAGACACACACACGCACATGCTCACGCACACACACACACACACACACACACACACACACACACACACACACACACACACACACACACACACACACACACACACACACGCACACACAAACATTCACAAGTTTCATCTTTGTCACTTGGCAGAACAGCGCACACACACACACCTTGAGTGACATGCTCAAAAGTCAAACACCCAGTGAGAGGGATAGGCAGGCATACAAGATAGTCTTTAAACCTCTCAAGTGACTGTGAGGCAGCATTGACACAATGAAGATCTACATTGGCACAATAAAGACCTACCGTTCGTCTTGCATCAAGAGGCGGTAGACACCGCAGAAGTTGTCCAGCATCTTCTTTGTGGACTGCATGTAGGGAGGGGGATGCTCTGGGTCAGAGCACATGCAGCCGTATGCCAGTGTACACAGATCAGACTGCAGCCAAGCACAGACACAATTAGAGCACACAGGGAATCATCACCCAGAAGGATAGATGTTCAGCTGTTCTTGACCTCATCTACTACCAGTATGTCCTGAAATTGGGTGCAAAAAAACAGATCTCACGTCTTCACATCACGGTTACGCCACCATCTCATATGATAACCCGGTTGCACTATGCATGCTCTTGTACAGTTTCCTGTCATTCGTTCTTGTTCATAGTTCTAGTTCCTGCTCTTTACAGTCAACTCTCTTGCTCTTTTTTTCTCGACCATGTTGACCTTGAAGAGCAACAGTAAATGTTTGCAAATTGACGGTACGCAGACTGTAACCGATTTGAAGCTACAGTCACAGTCAGCAGGTGGTGCCTGTCTTGTCTGGCCAGCAATGTGTTCATATGTAACAAGCGACAGAGCGATATCGTATGCCAACGTTCAGCCACAGATCCTGATCAGCCAGGATATTGGGCACTAACAACAGCCCCCCCCCCCCCCGCCCCATAACTATGAGAGCACTACAGTACTCGCACGGGTGGCTCATGGCTGCACAGATGCGTGTATCCAACACCAGCAGATGCTGCCCAAGGCAATTCTGCACGCTTGCAAGGCGGACGGCAATGTACATGAACTGATCAGAGAGTCATTCTTACTCTCCCTGTCTTGGCAATGCCCTCCTCTCCCTGGATTCGCTGCCATTACTAGATGTTTGGTCTTGATGATCAATGACATATAAATAGAGAAGAGCGTTTCCCAGTGTGGTCTTTTCCAACCAAGAATACTCATAAATGTACATTCAGTGTCTATTGGGGTTGCCTTTGTTCTTGTGCTGCGGTCAAGAGTCTGTGCCTTGGTTGATGGGGTGGTGAATGGAGTTCATGATTTGTTCACAATGTCCACACCTTACCTCGTCTGGGTCAGGTCGGAACAAACTGATGGCTCGGTTTGTTTTGGCGGCATCTAAGACACGATTGGTGATGGCCACAAATGAGACTTCCGGGTTGTCCAAGAAGTAATGCAATGCTTTGAGCGACTCGTGGCAGTCTTCGGGAAGCCCAGCTTCGTCCATGAACACAACTGCGTAAATCCATACAATAACAGGAGAAAAAACAAACACAGCGGTGCAACCCATACATTAACAGGAGGAAAAAGGAATTAAAAAAAACAAAAAAACAAAAAAAACAGGAGGAGTGAAGCAAATTCAAGCCTGCTGCAGAAAATCCCAAACCCACCATATTGCAGCTAAAATCCTAGCAACCGGACACCACTGAATACTATTGAAGAAAATTAACCTCGTGCTGACATGGTATATGGTGTGGAGTGAGGTCTAGTAACAAAGAAAGACTTAGGACAAAACTCCATACCGCAGCTTCGATCCAGTCTGTTCTTCTGATGGGACTTTTGCCGATTGATGGTTCTCAAGAAGACATTCTCGATTTCCAGGGACGTTGACTTCCTTGAGCACTGGTAGAACTGCGGATCCAGAGCTGGAAAGCGACTCGTATCACGGAAGAACTCTCTGAAAATAGAACAGCAGACCACAAGATAAGGCAAGCCGTAGTGACAACCGTTGCTACTCTAGTGCAAGTATATCGCAATGATCAGACTTCTGTTCATAACTATAGTCAGTTTCAAAAAGATTAGCAATCCTGGCGATCGCCCGGGGAGTTTGCCGTCTTACCGTATGACGGCTCGAGCGCTGCCTGGAAAAACTCACTGTGAACTCGAAGAAATATTCCGCGCGAAAGCATGAAAAATGACAACTCACTGACGTCGGTACTCGTACATGACTTTGTGTTCGTCTGGTTTACAACCAACAAACGAGTTCTTCCTCGTATCGATATGGAGTCAGAGAGGACATGTCGAAACTTCAAAGTGTGGTAAATTTTGACGAGCGGGATGCGTCCGTTTTGTGACCAAATAGATTCTTTGAGCTGCCGCGGATGCAATTTACTCTCACGATGTGACGAAAACGGCATCGACACAGACTCATTCCCAAGGCCTTGAAGTGGCAAAGCTATCCGTGTGACTTCGACGACATTTTGAGAAAAGCAGACGCCTGTGAAAGCTGATAGAAGACGGCGTTGACTCCTAAATTCAAATAAATTGGCGATCTTCAAATACTAAAATAATTCTCAAACAGAAATCGATCGATCGATGTGCCGGTGTATTCAACAACACGTAGCTACAGCGCAATAACTTCCGTGTTCACTCACACGGTTTCAGTGTTGTGTGTGTTCACAACTTCACATGGCGTGAGCCAGTCAAGTGTCAGTCAGTTCGGCAGGAAACGCGAGCTCCAACAAGTCGTTTGGCGCAGCCACCTTCTTTGTCTTGTACCGGTACACCAGCGTGATCACCAAAACAATGAAAAAATGAAGAAAAAAATGTTTGACTTGAAGATTTCTTCTCGGATTTATTTTCATGACATGCTCACTGATTTTACTCAGAAGTGAAAAACTTCTAGTCCAAAAAAAAAAGATTTGTTGGGATTTGAACTCACAACTTCATGGTCAGCAGACAGCATTCATAACCACAAGGCCAAAAAGGAAGAGATAAATCGTGGGTTTTGATAACAAATCGATACTGGCTTCCAGGGCAAATTATAAACCATGGGAAAAGGCCAGAAACCTGGCCGAAATACTAACTCCTTAATGGTTGGTCCAATAGACCCTTTGCACAATAACGGTCACGTGATCCGAGACGGGGCATCCTCTTCGATTTTTGTGCAGAGTATCAGTTGTTGAGCATGGTGGAACACTGTATTTTTCCATTTTGGAGATGGAGGGGAGAGCGTCGAGTGGTTTGCCATCGATGGCTGTGGAACCCGTGGACGAACTGTCAAATGAAGAATGGTCTGTGAAGGAACTGAACAGTTTTCTGCTTAATAAGGGTGCGTATCTGTCTGGAAAAAGAAGGAGTTGTTGGAGAGGTAAGTTTTCCGCATTCAGTGGATATTTCGGATTACTGTAGATTGAAATTGATTATTCTTTTCTCTACCTTCTCTCCCCTGTCGATGTAGAGAACACTTCTCTATGCAGAACCCTGATGCTCCTAGAACTAAGAAGGGCACCACTTCCTCGAGTGTACCTTCATCGTGCCCAACATTTCATGCGTCCCAGTGGATGAGTGATGAACCTCTGTTTCCCAGAGTGAGTGCCACAGCATGCTTGCTTGTCTCCAACGCAGGGGTAAGTCGCCGACGACAGTGAAGAGGGAGCTGATGGAGTAGTACAAGTGAACAGGCCCGTGGATAGTGTCCATGAGTTTTACTTTGGTGGCCATGTGCATAATGTGAAAGTCTGTCATATCGTGCACACAGCCACAGCTCGAACTCAGATGACTTTCTCCGCACACCTGAACGATGAGGCTGCGTCTCTCTCCACTTCAACATCAACAGCTCGAGCAGCGCCAGCAAGCAGTCGATCTTCCAATAGCGAAGACAGGGATGGGTCATGCCTTTTTCTCAAGCTCCAGAGTCTCTTGGCAGGGCGTTCCATATCTTCGCAAAAGCAAGGTCGGATGAAAGTCGTCATGGATAAAGTGTTCCGAGCACAACACTGGGAACGATATCGCAGCACTGCGGCCCTCTTCTCGCCAGATAGCCAGGATTCCAGAGTGTGGAATGCCAGCATCACCAGGGAACGCATGGAAAGACAAGTGGGTTTCTTAGACTAACGTTAGGGATGACGGTTGCTGCAAACAAGAACCCAACAGTGGTCCTTGGAAAGCGTTTCGGAACTTCTTCCTTCAGAACTAAAAAAACTTCAAATGAAAAAAGGCTGCGGAGTACATACATGAACATCGCGTCGGGACCGTGAAAACACAGCCTGTCACAGGAAACTTGATCACGTCCTGGGCTGCAGCAAACCACGCATGCTGGTTGCATGCCAAGTGTGCAGCGCGTGCACAGCATGCCCCGTCTCGACCCCTCTCGCTTATTGTGCAAAGGGTCTATTGTTCCGAAACCTTCACAGAACAATTTGCCGTGTCCTAACAAGCCGTTTTATGTACTTTGTTGTCCAAATTTCCCTTATCTTCATACTTTTTAAGACCCAAACTTGATTGCTAATCTTTTTGAAACAGACTGTAGTTACGCTGATGAACACGCACTGCCGGCGTAGAATTATAGACAAGACAAACAGCAGTATGAGATAAGACAATACTAGGACCTACTTTGGACTTTCTAGGCCTTTCAGGTTCTCAACGGCCAGGTTGAAAGAGAGAGTTTTGGACGAGCCGGGTGCGCCCACGATAATCAATGGCATGCGCACAACGCAGCAGACAATTGTGGCAAAGATGTTCTCCTTCAAAGCTTGGGTCTTGGCTATGCCCGCTGGGACGGAGAGACAGCTCATGTACCTGTCCATCTGTAACAAAACACAACACCGACAGCCATCCTCAATACACTGCTTGCACAAGGGCACACAGCAAGTGGGACACAGAGAAGTAAGAACATATCACAGCCAATGGCGAGATTGCAAACACACATACGTGCACACCTACCTCTCTGTTAAGGATGGTCAAGAAAGGATCTCTACGCCCCAAAGGCTCCTCCTTAGCGGTCAATCGCTGCACAAACAGACATCGGTAGTTGGTATCCAATCGCAAGTAGTAGACGAGACCCAAGGCCAGAAGCAATGCTTCGCGACTGGGCAACTGTGCCTTCCCTGACTTGCTGCTGCTACTGATGTTTCTCTCAGCTACTGGCCAGTAACTGAGAAGGGAGAAGTAACGTGATCTACCCACCGGAGTGCCTGCAGCTGATGGCAGTGTCGTTCTGCATGGAGATGTGAGAAAAAGAACAAGTCATTTTGAACTTGGCGTGCTACAGGTCACATCCGCACGACACACACAGACGCACGAGCACAACCTAGAAAAGCATTGTAGGTGGGAAAGGCCAAGTCACAGGAGCATCCAGCCAGGTACAGGACAACCTCTGTCTGCGTGAACACACACACACATACACACAGAAGCCGCTCTCTGCAAAGACACGTGCATGTACTTGCACAGTACATGCATGGCAGTATGCACTGCACAGTGTACACTGATGATGTTGACGTAGAAGCATGCTTTGAAGAGAAGCATAACTTGAAGAGAAGAATGGTTTGAACCCCAGCTTATACGGCCGTAAGTACCTGCTTTTATACGCGACATTACGGTATGTAAAGTATACACAATGCTGGCTAAAGAAGACATACCTGGAGGAAACCAGGTGGTCTCTATCCTTGCGCAAGCTTCTGTCAAAGAATGCTGACAAAGTGAACACACGCTGCGGAAGCAAAGAAAAACAGCACGTAAATATCTCTCCCACCACACCGGGATCCAATTTTGAAGTACAATGTCTGTGAACATGACTGTGGTACAATTTTCACTGCCACAATACACATAAGAATAAGATAGATGGAAACACATGGCGAAAGGTACTGATCACAACATGGACATGAAACATACGCACCCATCCATGAGCAAGTGCACTACAATAAAGTCACACATGCCACCAGAGCAGATGCACATCTGCTGACAGTTTCAACAGCGGTTTAGGGATGGCAAGATCTCTGAAAAACTGCTGCATGAATACTGTGAAAAAGAGATGAATATGTGAGTGAAAGGAAAGCGATACCTGAATGTCACGTTGACTGACGCAACTCGTAGCACGCAGCTTAGCCTCGCTCGGATCAAACTTGTTGAGAGTGAGTTGCTCCTCAGCAAAATCCCTCATGATTCGCTGACTTGTCAAAATGAGGGTGCTCAATAGCTGCACAGACATGCTGTATACAGTGACAGATGCAGAAAAACAAGCACAAAATGATGCCCCTGGTGCACAATTACACATACACAATTCAAGTAACATGGCCAGAAAATAAATGATTCGTTGTGATACTAGCATCCACGTATTATATACCACACCGTACTCTCAACATGGACTCAGCCATGTCCAACACCAGTGAGTTGAGATTGTCAAAAAGAAATGGCTGAGAATCATGATTGAAAACTTGAACTCACTCGACTTTGGTGCTGCCGATGTTGGCAATCTTGCTCTCAATATACTCCTTCTCCTGGTTTCCACTGAGTGCACCGTAACTCCAGGACAGGCAGCGCAGTGATGGCGGGATGGCACGTACTTGATAGGAGCCGGCCATCCAGTCACGATGTGACATGTATGACGACACACCAACCGAGCTACTGCGATGTGGATTGCACGCAGCCACTAAGAATACATTGTCTGGCACGGGCTGTGAGCAACAACAGGGAAAAAGCCATTGTCACATGGCCTAACACTAGTGCAGTAGGTATTCTACTGCTGTTTCAAACATAGTGCAGGGCCGGCGGAACCGGTCAGGCTGGTCCGGCCATGGCCGGACCACTTTCCCAGCTGGATGGTCCATGTGATTCGTGCAAAACCGGTGTAAAAAAATCCAGAGGTACATGACTCGACTGTACTGCTGACGTGTGATGTGCTTCGAAGTAGCTCAGGACTCCGTGACCGACACTGTATGGCTGATATGGATAAAAAAGTTGTGTTTGTGTTCTTCTACTATCATTTTCTGCATTTTCTGGAGCCTTAGAGATGCCCAAATATGCTCTATTTCACGTAAATTTTAAATATTTCTCCCGGGGGACGTCCCCCGGACCCCCCTCAAAGGTTGGCCGGACCACTCCCGAACTCCTTCCTCCGGCCCTGTAGTGTACTAGTAATTCCACGTTGTACAGATGTACAACATCCTGTTTACCATGTGAAGTCTATCCACCATCCGTAGAGGGCTCAATTTGCCAAAGGCAAAGAGATGAATACACAGACAGAAGAATAAGCACTTGCTGTCTCGTAACTCTGAGTTTCATGAACTGAGTCGATCATCAGAAAATCTCGTTTATGCGTACAATCCCTGTTGGGTATCTGCCGTGTGATAATGGCACACTTGACCAACATGTGCACATGAAAGACCAGTGCTTTTCCCCTGCTTCATCAACAAGGACAGCGATACTGAGTACCAACACCCAATCGGGTTTTACGCGATTTTGTACAGGAGCATGGTGTGCATAAGGACTGTCGCAAATCATCCAAAGTCAGCAGTACAGCTTACCTCTCCATCCAATGTTTTGTCCACCAATAGCTCCTTGAAGAGACCCATACAGGACGTTGTGTTAACCTCGTCCATAAACACCTGACACCAACACAAGAACAACAACAGCATAACAAGTGAGAATGATGAATAGCAGCGGTCCCTGCACTCAGTGTGTTATCACTACTGTACGTCATACTCTTAGTCTGTCATGTGTTCAGCACATTCAGGCAAAACGCCTCTTTTCAAACTTCACTACAAATTACACCCTCAATACCTTACGTGCGCGAGTGTATTGACATTTGACAACAATTCCTAGTAGAACAACCCCCCCCCCCCCCTCTACTCTACCACCTCTTTTCCCGAATAAATTACATACCCGACATGTAAGATTACCACAGCCAGCATTCACAACAAAAACGTGTACACTCCCGAGTACAGACTGGCTAACCCACCGTGAACACTGGTGTTTCGTGCTTCTCCACCACTGCATGAGGACGGTGCACCTTCAGCCACTCCCTCTCCTGCGTAATGCGGTTGTGCATGGCTTGAGACAGTGCCTGCGCCTCCTCAAAAATCGACCGCAGACGCTTCTTCAAGTTAGTGGCAGTCAGAGCTACAGAGCACAAGCCAATGGAAACAGGAAACGAGGGCAGCAAAGGCAGCCAGGCAGCCACATGTCAATAAGCAGAGGGAACACTGGAGTAGATAAGATACACAGCCATGGATTCGACAACATCAGCCACATGTTGATAAGCACAGGGAATAAATACACTGACGGTCATGCACAGCCATGGACTCGACGACAGCAGCCATATGTACCTGAGTGAATTTTCACTTTGTGGAATGTCTTAATCGTGGGTGCCGTGAAGAAGTTCTTCAGGAGAGCTACCAGCTTCTGCACAGTTGAACACAACAGGAGCAACAACACACACAAGGACGTATTTGACCAAGACGGACAACAGGGAGGCGGGGAAGTTTTCCCCCACATTTTACGCACAGTGTACAGCCAGACACACTATGATATGCATATGCCATCCATCAGCTTCAGCCCCGGCTACATGCATCGAGGCCAGAGCTCACAGGCGTTCTGAGTCAAAAAGACTAGGCAAAAGACTAGGCATTACATGCATATGCTCTGAAAAGACGTGGAACTCTCTGCTCTGAAACTTGGTGATTTGCAAGCCTTCACATGTCCAGGCTAATGGCAACACCATGTAGAGTGGCGCGCCTTTGAGGATATGGGGACACAGTCAGCCAACAATACTGCACGGTACTCACTTCTGGTGCAGAAGACGATCCGTGAGAAAGAACATGTTCAACAAGATCCTGATCGACTTGCAGTAGGCATGATCGAGGGGACCGTAGGTCAGCCAGCACTTCAAGAATCGGCTTGCAGTCAGTAGGCATGCTGTCGGTGCGGCCCTTCATGAAGTAGTCCACGATCTGCTCCCGTGTTACCATCATGCCCTTATTGAAATCATGGACGAAGTTGAGCATCTCTGTTACACGAGTTGGCTCCATGTCAGCTGTGCACAGATGTAGAAAACCATCATTGCACACACACACACACACACACACACACACACACCTCAGACCTCAGACATGCCCATCGCGGGAGCGATGATAGCGAACAGCTATGTTAGACATAGCAACTTGTGCTGGGATTACACCATTCAACAGCTTGCAAGGCTGATGAATTGACCGCCACTATTTTTAGCCTGGTATCCACCATACAGCTGTTTGAAGTGACTTTTTCTGGCCAGTGAATCCCATTTTTTTCATTTTTCCATTTTTTCTTTTTTTCTTTTTTTTCTTTCTTTTCCTACACACACCACACCACATACTCCGGCATACACTGGCTGTTGGTAACCACCCAGGAGAATGAAAGAAAAGTCAGGAAGAGTCTGAGAAAGAGAAGAAAGACGTGTGTGACCATAATCGTCAGGAATCGAACCCGCAACCTATCGAACCCGCAACCTATCGATTGGAAATCGCTGCACATACCACTGCACCATATGGGACACACACACACACACACACACACACACACACACACACACACACACACACACACACACCAGTAGCTGTACACAGTCTAGCTTAGCACTGTGCATGTTGAAAGCTAACACCAACAGACCACCACAGTGGAAAGAAATCAAACAAATCTTGCTTTCAATACTGATCTGCACTCATTCTAGTACATGAACCAGGTACATGTACTTACATTCGCTTGGCTCGCTCAGACGAGCAACCAGAATGTCACCGAGGTCCTTGATCATCATCTTTCTGCAGGATTGCGCTGAGCGGTTCCACAGTAAGGACAGCATGTGCAGCAGAGCAGTTTTGCCAACACCAGTCTCACCCTCAATGACAACTGGCACGCCGCACATGCGACGCTCATGGATTGCAAGCATCTTCACAATCACAAGTATGCACAGACACAGACACAGACACACACACAAGGAATTCAAACAGCTATCCTACACTAACATAAAGAAAGACCGTCTTCAACAACACATCTGAAGCACTAAGTATCAATGGCATAAATATTACACACTACAAAATACAAGCCTGCAACAATCCATATCAGAATCACTGGTTACTTCAGTAGTAGGACAGCTAATGTGAAAACTATCGTCAGCCCTTTGCAATCGGAGCGTAACTTTCAGTTTGCCTCATCCCGCATTTACACGTACTGTTCAGGCCGCACCCAGCGGCGGATACTGACTTATGGTAATTGTAACCTTTTAAGGAAACCTGTACTTATTTGAAGATTGCCATGGGCTCGCGGTTGTTAGGGCGTTTACGTATTGGCAACTTCAGCAATACTGTATGCATTGTTGGACTGTGTTCGTTGACAGATCCAAGCGCACGTGCATGTTGTAACATGAGACCGGGCACGAGATGACTGTACTCTTCAAAAGCAGGTGGTCGCTTAGAACAGATTGTACTGTACCTTTACAGTATAGTCCAGTGTCAACACATAGTTCTCTTCATCGATGGCAGCCAGTCTTCCATTCTCCAGAGGTACATTCAGAGCACAGGACAGGTAGGAATCCAACACGGCACGGTCACCAAATTTCCTGTTTGGAAAGAACAGTTGCGCAAGCCGGGGAAAGAATCAAAGCATCAGCAACTCTAGAAACAACAACGAACGTGAGGATTCAATGCGAAGTATTCAGCGACATCCACTAGCCACATTAACCACCACGGAATGCTGGAATGCTTACCACACTGAGCAGCACAGCAGATTGAACAGACCAATAGTAATAGTACTACTCACAGCTCCTCGGGAATGGACACACCAATGGCAGCATAGCGCACTCTGTCCTCCTCACTGATTTTGTACGGTTGCGTAGACAGCAGCTGGACAGTGTGGCATCCACTCTTCATCTCATAGACCAGCTGAACAATAGTGGCGGACAAAGCAATATCTAGCAAGCTACAGTACATTCTTTTCTCTTCATAAACGGACAGATACACAGCAAGTGACATGATGATAATGACTCTAATGTGCAGGTTGGGTTACTACAGAAAGTTGATTGTTTGTCATGGACATGGAGTGTTGTAGCTATTAGGATATCTTCACCGACTAACCGATCAGTTTTCAATAATACCCCATTTTTGACGCAGGGCGCCCCCTGGCCTAGAATCTGTTTGCTGCCTTCTAATTCCACCCGACAACCCTGATATGCCAACCAAACAAGAATGTGTTCTGAGCCTGTTGCATGCCTGTAGAAGACCTTAGGGTCTGTTGGGAATGCCCAAGTGAAATAATAAAATACAAATACAAATACAAACGTGGGGTGTGCATTAATAGCATCATACCGCAATGAAAAAATGCAACTACAGACTGTATTCATGTACATGCAGTTAACCATTTAAAGACCACAATTGCTGTACCACACAGCATTCATCACAACCTACCTGCTCATGTGAGTGTGACTCAAACTGAGTGCTTAGCTGCGGGTTGCAGAACTGCTGCGTCTCCTTCAGCATGGCTCGCATCAGCGTGGAGCCAAGCTCACTGGTGTCACTGCAGCTGCCCGACTCGTCTCGAACACCCCGACCTGGTACGCAGAACACGGCACACGAGCCATGAACCATCGCAATCACAGACCATACATAGAATAAATACAAAAACAGCACGTTCCAGCACATGAGATATCTTTACATAGCAGTGCATATCACTGCAAAACATCACTCGATATTAAACACAAGATAGACAGTGGCACGTGCCAGTACTGACCAGTGTTATACGTGTATGCTGGCATATTCTCCAGCACCAAGCAGCGACGCAACATGTACCTATAACGTGCATACACAGTGTACACAACAAAGATTGACACACACGCACAACGCACGAACGCACGCACAGAACATGTATGCACACATGCACGCGCAGAGCATCCACCACATGCACACAGAAACCAAAATGTCAACTGTGGACAGTTCATATTGTTCAGACAATACAACTGACATCTGCATTCATCGACACGAACTATTCGCAAAACTGCTCTGGCAAACCCCAAATACAATGCAACGCTTCGCAGATACCTTCCACACATATGTACGTATGTACGCACGCAAGCACACACGCACAAGCAGAAGTACATATTCTACCGAGAAGCAGGTACAGCAAAACATGTGATTAGAGATCACTTGTCTTACAAGATCAGTCCATTCAAGTTTCAACTTTAGGACCGAAACCATGATACAGGTACATGCTGGTACATCTGCATCTGTGTTGAACAACCATCTGTCTATAATGATCAGTACTCTGTGTACCATGGGCAGGGTGGTCACTAAACACAGGTTGCACTGTACTTGCACATGGCAGAGCTAACCAACCACTAGATCACATCATCCACATATCACATTGCCTGTAGTGTCATTCCCAAAAATGACCAGCCAGTTTGATTGCGTAGACATCGGTGTAGAGAGTTCTGTGTACGATGGGACACGTAGACATCGGCGTAGAGAGTTCTGTGTACGACGGGACACGTAGACTCATCTCCGCTACGGTGAAGGCTAGTAGGATTGTTTTCCTATGCTGCTAGGAAAGCTAGCTGTATCTGAAGCCAACATCCATGCTTTAGAGTAAGCTACTCGCGGTCAATACATTAACCCACTCTGGGTTGCCCAGCACAAAGGCTGCATCACGATGTCAACCTTTGGAGCAGTGATCAAAGCTGACAAAATGGGTCGTCAGCCGTCAAAATCGCTAATGAAGATGTTGGAGGGCGGAGGTACTCTGTCCCATATGCGACCTGCGCAATGGGGTGTGCTGCACGAAGATACAGCCATTACTCTCTACTGTGAGAGACATGGTGTTGATGTGACGCCAAACGGTCTTTTGCTCCATGCCAGTGGGCTTCTTGGTGGTTCACCAGATGGTATTGTCGACGCAGACCTGATGATAGAGGCGAAATGTCCAACATGAGCACAAAAACCCAGTTCGCCACGCTCGTCCAAGGCCGGAAAGGGTATTTCTTAAAGGACGTAGCATCATCACCATCGCCATCCAATCCTTTATCGTACTGTCTGAATCTCCAGAATGATGCTGGTTCCTCGTATTTCCATAACATCCAAGGGAGTTTTCATTTGACAGGTCATCCAATCCTATTTTGTACTGCCTGAATCTGCAAAATGATGCTGGTTCCTCGTATTTCCATCAGATCCAAGGGAATTTTCATCTGACAGGTCATCCAATCCTATTTCGTACTGTCTGAATCTGCAGAATGATGCTGGTTCCTCGTATTTCCATAAGATCCAAGGGAATCTTCATCTGACAGGTCATCCAATCCTATTTCGTACTGTCTGAATCTGCAGAATGAAGCTGGTTCCTCATATTTCCATAAGATCCAAGGGAGTTTTCATCTGACAGGTTGACGATTATGTGACCTGGTTGTCTGGTCGCCGAGCGAGACTCTCATCATAAGAGTTGAGTGAGATGAGGCCAGGCAAGAGAACTTCGACAAGCTAATCTCTTTCAGTAAGCAGCAAATTTTGCCATCAGTACTTTGACATACCCAGTATTCATTTTTTGGGAGCTTTTTTCATTCACACTGCTTTCACACCATTGCGACAATGAAATCACTTTTCACCCTTGCTGCTATAGTAGTTTTTGTAACCTCCAATCATGACTTTGTAGCTTTGTTTGAGCACATTATAATATTGTTTATTCACCTGCAAATCACCATTCAATGTAGGTTCACTGATGACCATCGAAAGAAAAAGTCCGAAAAACGTTAACGAATTACCTTTTATAAATTTTTGCATTTCATGATTGTTACATGGTATTATGTTGGCATCATTCTTTTTTTTTTTCAAAAGAGAGTTTCATGCAACAGTTATCTATAGTGACAATAACAGTAGTGCATACATATACACATGCACATGCAGCAAGGACTAACCTGACAAACAGACGCTGCAGAATCTTTCTCTCTCGCAGATGAGCCGGTGTGAACCTGCGCAGTAACATCTGACACTGCTGCTCGCTGATGTTCGGCCCACTGGCAATTGTCCTCGCTTCTGATGCACGACCTGTGCAGTGCGGCGCGCAGTGCAAACAGTACATGTACTTGCATAATTTCAACTAGGTACGGCCAATGCCATATTAGGCTAGCCAATCTGAAAAATGGCTAGACTCTAAATAGTGTTGCAACGAATATTCTATAAGGCAAACGACCGAATACCAAGTATTCTATACTAGTAAGCACTTTGCGGCCAGTTTACAATACACATGTGACACCAACATCAAGCTGCATCTGTTCACCATCACACACGCCCAACATTTCCTTCAAAACCGTTTTCAACGACTTTGCACAGTTAATCTACACCCCAAAAGAAACCTACCTGAATTTTTTGAGCAAAATTGGAAAGATAGACTTGTGCACTTTCTTTGGTTTTCTCAGACATGCTTTCTTAAGGGAAGAGCGACAACATTATCACATAGAAATTCAC